GTTACTCTTATCATTTCTACTTGTGTCTATAAATAAAATAAAATCTGTGTTCAATTAGCATGAACTAGCATCTTTTAAGCAGCTCCTCATTTTATTCTCTAGACCCAATAAAATCTCTTTGGTTCTGGTGGATAGTGTATCTAGAAATGTTACTACGATTTAAAAAATTAAACATTTAAACCATGCTTCTGGTAAGTGATGAGACAGAGCATTATGCAGATATAATATTATAAGCTCCATTCTATTTAAAAGGTAGCCTTGGAGATCAGTATCCATAAGAATGAAATAAACGAAGGCCAAGCACAGCTTTACCACTAATGAGATCTTGTTCATATTACTTGTATCATGGGAACCAAACAATGGTCACATGAGTTTTCTGATATTTACAAACAGGCTTATAAAAAGGCTATCATAAATCCCAGTTTACAAACCCCGTCTCAATATTCAAAAATGTTTTCCTGAACGGAACCAAATCATCAGAGACCTGCCTATCTGGACCACATGTTTTGGTGTCATTGCAGAAATATCCTCCTTACTAGAATGAATTGAGGTGCTGGCCATCAACTAACATTTCAAGATATATCTTTTTGTTTTATTCACTGAAAAAGACATGATTTCTTTAAAAATGCAAAGGAGAAGTTTCTTTCAGGTCTCAGTGCCAGGAAACATTCTCCACTGCAACTAGCTTTTTATTTGATGGATGCCATAATTCCTGTAATTGACATTACCTTCTCCTTGTTGCCTGACAGTTTTTCAAACCTAATTAACTCATGGCCCAATTGTACATAACATTTTGGGGTATTAACTTTATTTAGGATAGTAATTTCACCCTGAAACCAAATTTTCTCATTTAATTTTAAAATAGCATACGTTTTTTCATAAATCCTTTTTGGAACATGGTGGGGTATAAACAAAACAGTTACATAGTTGGAAAAAAATTTCCACCTATACATGACTAAAGTGCTTCCTTGAAATAGAAAATATCCCTAATACCATGGACCAGTTACTCTCCAACAATACATTGTGAATCACTTGTAGATCATTTGCCAAGGTAAGGAAAGCTTCTCTTTTACCCCTACCATTTAATCCAAGGTAGACAGATGAACAACTGTCTCGCAACTTCTCACCAGCTCCAGATAAATTCAGGGTTAGTTATAAAGGTTTTTAGACCTCCTTGGAACAAGACCTAGAAAAACAAACTTGCCACCTTAGGTCTATCTTTTTGAAAATCAGGTGAAAGCTATAGATCTAGAAAAGTACATATATCACAAGTTTGTATTCAATTTCTCGGAGGATTATAAATACTCCTAAGCCCATTGGTGAGCCTAAAGTCAAGAACTCCTTTCTGCAAAATGGCAAGCCTAGATGTCACCCACTAGAACTCATATTACATTATTGTCATGTAAAAGGTTCAAAGATGGGTTGGGGATCAGGGCTATCTTCTGTTCACATTGTTAATAAAATATTCATAGTGTGATAACTGCCTCAAAAAGTCCTGCCTCTCTCACCTTTACTCCATAATCACCATATATGTAAGGTAGTAAAGCCCTGCTTCCTTACCCAGGTTTATTTTTTCTCAGAGCATCTCCCTCCACTTATTTTTTTTCCTTAGTTATATTTTCTTCTTCTCTTTTCTTTTATAAATATAATCACTACATATTATATATTTACTGTCTCTACTGACTAGAATGGAAGCTCCATGAAGGCAGGAAATTGTTGCGCTCATGGCTGTACCTCTGATAAGAGGCACTAACATATTTTTTGAACTAATCTACAGGTACTCTCTACTCTCTAAAGCAGCGGTCAGCCTGCAGGCCAAATCCAGGCCTCCGCCTGTTTTTATAAAGTTTTACTGAACTCAGCCATATTTATTTACATATTATTTATAACTGCTTTCTTGCTACAATGGCAGAGCTGAGTAGTTGCAACAGGAACCACAGGGCCAACGAACATTCAAATATTTACTATTAATATCTGGCCCTTTACAAAGTTTGCTGGCCCACATAGCACTCATATGGCTCTTATTTCCCAAGCTAGATTGGAAGCACCCTTGAAACAGTTGAGTCTTATACTTCTTTGTACCTAGCACAGAGAAGATGCTCAAAAACAGCTATAACCATACAAATATAGATTTCCTACTTCCAATATAAATTATTTTTGTATAGTTAAATCCAAAGTTAGTATTTTTCATCATCAATGCATTTCTAGCAAGGCCACAAACAAAAATTACCTATGTTATGTTCAACAATTTAGGGGACAAAGAGAAGAGAATGATGCCAACAAATTAGCAAACTTTCTAGTTCAAAATCGTAATCATGTAATCTTTAAAATATAAATAAGAGGTAACAACTGGAAAGCTCTTCCTGGTATGTTTCAGACAAATGATTTTAAGGTGAACCACAGTTACTTTCTCAAAGTCAAAAACCACTGTAACAAAGTATCTCTTTTTATGCCAGGCACATTTTAGGTATTCAGTAGTCATTGAATAGATGCACCCCCTCATAAATATTTGGCTCACCAATTTATGCAAACTACAACTACCTGAAAAGAGGCATCAGGATTTATACCCCTTTGCCAATTCTAAAATACACTCAGCATTTCTCAAGCCTTTAAAAAATTGTATCCTTTCTGCCATTCTCTGAAAATTTTAATTTGCATTGGTACCACTGTTTCCAAGGAACTGAAAACTAAATGGATAAATCTAGGCATGACAGCAGTCCACTGTTTACTCCAGGAACAAAGGTAATCAAACAGGATTTTTTCATGTTATTGGTAAGACAGAATTGAGAAGAAAGGGTTAGGAACCTTATTATCTTTGCTAAGTTATTTTGAATAAGTAACAATATACACAATGATATACAATCATTTGAGAAAACTATTGTTTATTTAGAAAAAAGGTTACACTGGTAGAATTCAGTAGATAAAAAAATCTGTTTTAAAAATGTCACTGTTAAACTTTTCCAGACTAAAGTTCAGCAATACAAAGCTCCTGTAGCTGTAGAATTAAAACACAATTAACTTTTGATTTCCCCCACCAAGATTTTTCCAACATAATTACAAGAAAAAAATGGCAAGGGACAAGTGAGCACTGGTACCTTTTTCTTTTTTAAACAGGTTTTAATGTTGTACATGTACTATATAAAATGATTCCTAAGCACTGCATAAAACAATGCTCCCCCTTTGTAGTGCCTAATATTAAAAACAGGCCAAATAATAAATTAAAACTGAGTTTTAAAATGAGGTAAATTCAAAATGGTTCAATAATTGTTTATTTTCAGTTTCAAACAATAAAAAGAAAGCATTTCAGAATGGAAAAAAATACAACTAAACCCAGGCAATATTTAGTTAACCTAAAGTGAAATTCTGTACACATGTAACCTTATTTGCTTGTTGGGAATTGTATGCAGCACATTGTGCTAAAAATATGAGACAGTTAACACTTTCAGCCAGTACTGAAAATAAACATGTAGAAACTAGGCAACAAGTTAAAATATAAGTAATGCAAAATTCAACAATTTTCTGTTTTCCACATGGAGCAATAAAGCAGATAACTGAATAATTTAAGGAGATGCAAATGGGCCCTCTTCATTCATAATTCTCGGCAATCTACTCAGGAAAATAAATTTCTGGTCACAGCTGAACAATTTCATTCCAATTTCACCTGAAAGAAACAAAGTGATTATATTGATAGACAAGAAAGGAAGACAGGAGGGGAGTGGGAAGGAGGAGGAAAGGAGGAAAGGAAGGAGGAGGAAGAGAAGAAGAAAGGAAGGAGGAGAGAAAGATGGAATTAAAAAGGAGAAAGGAGGAGAGGAGGGGGAGGGAGAAAAAGGTTGAGGGAGAGAAAGAGAGAGGGAGGAAGGAAGATTTAAGAAAGAAAGAAAAGTTAATGAGTCAATAACAAAAGTTTAAATTAAGTCCCTAGAAAAGGGTGAAATATTTGCATATTTCTTATTGTCCACTCTTAGAAACCATTAAAGATGGACACACTATGATGACTTAAAAAAAAGACATTCAACATTTTGGGGGGCATGAAACAGTAACAAATAAAACATTCCACAGGGCAAGCAATAGCTTATTAAAAGTAAACAAAACATGTAGCAAAGGAACCTATTTTACATGATCAACAAGAGAAAAATGACATCACATATTTCACAAGGACACAATTTTAATAGTGACTTATATTAAGATGTAATGTCTGCTAACTTATAAAAATTGCTTTAAAAATATATTGACTTAATTATACTCATTTCCTTTCCTTTATGTATTGACATTTTTCAAATACTGCATATTGAAATAAATTCAAAACATGATCATTACAACATGTGGCAAATAATTTCATATCTGCCTAACATTATTCTCATTCAAAATTTAAACTAATGCATAACGCATTAAATTTTATTGATGAAAATACTACATTCACATATTTCATAAAACCAGAGTTAGAAGGGGCCTTAGAAAATAATCACACTGCATGAAATGTTGACAAATAATTTACATATCATTTCTACACATTCTGTTCACACCAAGTATAATCTTGACATTATCAATCATAATTGCAAATACACTAATGTTGAACTTATAATTCAATACTTAAAAGTTTTTGTTCCTGTCCATCAACTCATGAATGGATAAACAAAATGTGGTACATAATCATACAATGGAATAACATTGAGCCATAAAAAGGAATGGAGTACTGATACATGCTACAACATGGATGAACCTTGAAAACATGATGTTAAGTGAAAGAGCCCAGACATAAAAGGCCATGTATTGCATGATTTCATTTATATGAAATGTCCAAAACAGACGAATTCATACAGAAAGTACATTAGTGGTTTCCAGGGTTTGAGGGAAGGGGAGAGTTGGGAGTGACTGCTAACAGGCATAGAGTTTCTTTTTGGGGTGACAGAAATGTTCTGGAATTAGACAGTGGTGATGGTTGCACAACACAGCAAATATACTAAAAACCACCGAATAGTACATTTTAAAATGGCGAATTTTATCTCAATTTTTTAAATTGCAAAAAAAAAAAAAAAAAAAAAAAAGGTCAATGTTCCAATTAAGGGCACCATGGTATCACAGTAGGGCCATAACTAGGAGAATAAGAAATGGGTTCCCAATTATGAAGATGTCACATTAGGAGAATTATTGGGCAAGGTACATTTTGATGATATATTTAAGGGCCCATTAAAGGATAAAATTCTGTTGCTGTTAAAACATATAAAGAAGATCTTTCCCAGGAACTGAAATTAAAATTTTTACAAGAAACCAAAATCCTCAAGCAATATATCATCCCAATATTATCAAACTTATAGGAGTTCGCACACAAAGACAGCCTATCTACATCATTAAAGAACTGGTTCCAGGAGGCGATTTCCTCTCCTTTCTGAGAAAGAAGGATGAACTATTACTCAGTTAGTAAAATTTTCATTAGATGCTGCTTCTGGATGGCGTATCTCGAGTAAAAATTGTATACACAGGGACCTTGCTGCAAGAAACTGCCTGGAGGTGAAAATAATGTTCTGAAAATCAGTAACTTTGGAATGTCTCGTCAAGAGGATGGTGGTGTGTATTCATCTTCTGACTTAAAGCAGATTCCCATTAAATGGACAGCACCAGAAGCTCTTAATTATGGGAGATATCGTTCTGAGAGTGACGCATGGAGCTTTGGCATCCTCCTCTGGGAGACCTTCAGCTTAGGGGTCTGTCCATATCCTGGAATGACAAATCAGCAAGCACAAGAGCAAGTGGAAAGAAGATACTGGATGTCAGTCTCTCGGCAGAGTCCAGAGAGTATAAAATAATGCTGAAGTGTTAGGATTACAAACTTGAAAACCGCCCCCAAGTTCAGTGAACTTCAGAAAAAGCTAGCTGTCATCAAGAAGAAAGCCACACTGTGATGAAATAGTGCCAAACTCAGCCTCTATCTTTGGCAGAGTAGTATTTTTCTTCTCATTAAGATATACACCACGTTACCTGCAACATTCTCCTAAGCTTATTTTTTTTTTTATTAACTATTGTTTAAAAATACCTGCTGCTTTAACCATTGTAAACAAAACAACACAAGTTCTAAATGTAAGAGGTCACACAGATCTTTTCACACCTAGGACTGTTGCTGTTTCTCAAAGGTTTCCTACTTCAGGCTCAATTCACAGTTTGCTGTTTTCTATCACAGACGTCTATCTTCTATTGGTGCTACAAACTGTATTGATAATACCACGTTTGCAGGACATATTCCAACAAAAGGTGGCCTTCCACTCTGCTGAGACAAGACTATATTTGTAAACACCATTTCATATTGGTAATTATCTGGACCTCCTAGGTTTTCCCCCTACTTTTTCGTTTCGGCCAGAAACAGATTAGATCCTGCTATATTGGTAAGGCTGTCATTTCCTTATGTTTTACCATGCCCTCCTGTGCACAAACATCCTCAAAGAGTTGAGCCAGTTGAATTTAAATGATCTTATAGAGAGCTATGACAGCAAGAATCATGTTTGAAAGTAGGGTGATCTGAAGAAAAGAGCAGCTAGGGTGGTGATTAAAGTAGAGAAGAAAAGGCAAATATAAAATCAGCCTTCTTATCAGAGGTATGCCTTTATAAACACACACACTTTTTAATTTTATGATCAAATTCATCAAAAAGGTCCTAAGAAATGTTTCAGTAATTCAGAGATTTGTTATAAAAGAGCCCTCTTGATGGCAAAAAAAGAAATTTTTAAGAGCAACTATAAAATACCAGCCCACCAAAATAACAGCTTACTTTTAGTTAAGTGTCTTTGCCTCAAAGGAAGCATTCCAGAATTGCCTTCCCTGCATTTTTACTAGTATCTGAAGCCGTCGGGATTCCATGATCTTACTTTCTCTCTCTTACACACCCCCCAAGTAGAAAGATACATACAGTTGGCGTTTTAAAAGTGAAACATACATTTATGAGGAAGAAAGAAGTTATGAGGAGAAAGATATAGGGACAGCCATCCTCATTCTACTTTACTCCTTCATTTACCCTTACATTGGAACCTAGGAATTCTTACTGCAAATAGTCCCTGAGATGTTTCATGTGCATAAAATGTAATAGAGTTAAAACTGGGATTCTGTTGAGCTGAATCTTAACTGCGCTCAAGGATGCTTCTCAGAATAAATGTGTGTGTAGGAGATAGACACACTCATGGGAAAATGTGGCATGGGAGCCTTTTATAAGTGTTCATGCCTATGTCCAGATTTAAAAAAAGAAAAAACAGCACCTTAATGACTATTTGGTCTACCTTGATAAGAGCAAGGAAACAGAAAATTCCTTGTGCCCTTTTCAACTGTTTGGTGTCTATGAATATTACTGCACAGAACCTACAGCCAATACTTTTTTTAAAAAGTGTAAAAGATGATAATGAAGAGAAAAATTCATTTGTGTCTATTATTTCAATCTCCTAATAAGAGTTTTCTACACAATTGATAGTTACTACATATGGAGCAAAATAAAACCATATTAAATCTTCTCTCAAAAAATATGTTGCAGCATACAAAACAACTTCTTTGTAATCAGTATGGCTTTCCTTTCTATCAAATGGTGTAAATAAACTGAATCTTCTTTTGATGGCAAAAAAAGTCAATGTTGCTCCTCATCAATGTGCACACTGATCCCAAAGAGATACACATAGTATCTCTGTACTTAACTTCCTATGTAAAGTTAAGAGTATCTAAAACATAGCAGATAATAAAGAAAAATACTTGGTTGTTTGATTAGAAGGCAGGCATGTAGTTACTGTCTTCAACAAAATCACCATCTAGGGATGGAGATATGTAACATACTCATATATATAGGAACCAGTGACTAGGACTCTACAGGCAAGCCCACATGCAAAAACGTAAGAAATGAGAAGCTACTAAGGAAGAAACTTAAAACACTCCGTATCCCAACATTTATTATCAGCATCTACGAATATGCCTCAAAATGGCAATACATTTCTAAAAATAAGCAATCTTTGAGAGCTTAGGAAGTTAGTTTCCAAGTATGAACTGAAGAAGAAAAAAAAGAAAAAAAGTCTTAGAGCAGTAATTACAAAAATCAATTATCTATAGGGGCCAGGAATGTAATGGAAACAAATCAAGTGAGCTGAGTAGGGACTAATTGAAGTGAACTGTAAAAAAAAGAAGGCCCTTGTTCAATCCAAAGGAAGGCAGGACCTAGGCAGGCCTAGCTGATTGCTGCCACACAGAAATCAGGGCACAATGTTACCAAGTACTCTAATTCTTCAAGAGAAACTAAAATTTGGATTTTGTTAATTCTTTTGATTTTTAAAAGCAACCAATTAAACAAAAAAATTTTTAATTGTGTAATGCCAAGATGGTACATCTTAACAAGCCACATTCTGCCAAAGGGCTGAGAATTTACAACCTTGAGTTTAGAGGATAAAAGTAGGTTACACATTTGAGACTGGAGGTGAGAAATGGACTTGCAAAATATATTTGGCCTTTTTGGAACAGAGGGTTAGAACAGGAATATAGTAGATTAAAAATACAGATTATGGATAGAATAGAGCCAAACTAACTGCTAATGTTCTTGAAAATCAAAGTCATAAGTCCAAGATAACAAAAAGCAGGATCATGCTTCTCAGTCTGGGAGCAAGTGTCAACTTAGCAAAGCATCTGGTTCACAAAAGGACTCTCCAAAGTTTGCTAAAGTCAACATTCATGAGTTGAGGACCACACATAGCAAAGTATAATTGAGAAGCCAAAGGATGGTTCTTAGAGGACAATTTTAAATAGGCAGGAATTTTCAAAGAAGATCAAAGTAGAAGAAAAGGCTAATGGCAAAGCAGCTAATAATATTCAAGAGATTAAATCAAGGAGAGGTAAGATGAGATGAATTTGAACAAAGACTTTATAGGTAACAGAAGATGCAGAGAAGAGGCAGAAAGTTTTGCAACTAAAAATAGACAAAAAGAAGACTGGAAGAAATTTAATCTGGGTCACATTTAAATACTATATTTTTAAATTCTAATGTGATCATTTTCATGTTTCTGAAATCAGAAAACTTACAAATCAATGTCATCTCTCTACCTACCTCCCTCAAAAAAATTGTTCTAAAAACCAACAATAAAATATTCCAATTAATGACATCTTTTAATCATGGAAATGTGACATGTGGGAGCTCTCCTGTCTATAGAATAGAAAATAAATTAAAAAGGGAAGGGGGGGGCAGATTTAGAAGTGGCCTGTAGGTAGATGGTGCCAACCAGAAATGAGGAGACCTCTAAAAGAAAAGGAAGGAAAGGAAGAAAAACAGACTTGACCAAACCTACAATGTATACAAATAGAGGCAGCCAAAAAACAGCCAGCAAAAAGAAAAAAATCAACCAGAGCCTCACTAAATTAAGAGTCTACCCAAGAAGATAGTACAAATTTGTCAACAAGAAATTAAACAGGGTGAACATACCAAGCTAAATGTATCTCTAAAAAGATATCTTAATCTAGAAGCTTTGCTACAAGACCACCAGCCAAACAACTAACCTTGGCCTTTCTTTTCATGCCTTTGTTCCTGGGTACAAACTCACAGCTAGGGTAAGAACGACTCAAATCTGTAGCATAACTTTTATATACAAAAGAATAATATTTAGGTACTGAGTAAAAGATGTATAAAATCACAGTGAAGGCCGGGCGCGGTGGCTCACGCCTGTAATCCTAGCACTCTGGGAGGCCGAGGTGGGCAGATTGCTCAAAGTCAGGAGTTCGAAACCAGCCTGAGCAAGAGCGAGACCCCGTCTCTACTATAAATAGAAAGAAATTCATTGGCCAACTAATATATAGAGAAAAAATTAGCCAGGCATGGTGGCGCATGCCTGTAGTCCCAGCTACTCGGGATGCTGAGGCAGGAGGATTGCTTGAGCCCAGGAGTTTGAGGTTGCTGTGAGCTAGGCTGACGTGATGGCACTCACTCTAGCCTGTGCAACAAAGCGAGACCCTGACTCAAAAAAATAAAAATAAAATCACAGTGAAAGCTGTCAGTGACAATGGTTGACCCATTCCTAATGAAGATATGAGATGCAGGCTTTATCTTTCTTTAATAGGGAAAATCATATGTGAAAGCAAAATGCCAAATTAAAAGAAAGGTTAAGATGAAAAATAAAAAACAAAACAAAGAAAGATTAAGACTTTATAGTTCACCAAGGAAAACAGTTAGTTGTCTGGGTGGGATGGGGAAGCTAGAATTGAAGAATAAGCAGTAACATTTCTTTTACAATCTTTTTTAAATCATTAAATTCTAAATGCTTTTTCATAACTTTTGTTTACCCTACTCTACTACTTAGATAACAAGCACAGAATAGCAAAGCAGAAAAAGCACACCACTCATCAGGTGTTGCCTATCTGGCAACCTCAAATCCCTGCTTTGCAGCCAAAATAAATATAACAGAATTCATACTCTAACACCCATACCCTTTATACAGAACTGACTCCCAACATTTCTCACTCTTAATCTAAACACCAGTATATAGCCTTGGTTATCTATCTGGTTTCATAAAAAATTAGATGCAGCCAATAATATTAGGGGGAAAGATAGACAGCAAGTACACTTAATATATTAAGAAGTGATAGCTAATATGGAAGAAAATGGACTATAAAAAAGCAAAGTCAACAACTTCAAATACAGCTATCTGGAACCATTTAAGGGGCAAAGCATCTCACTTCAATAATCCTCAGGCATCATCAAACAATGAACTATTCAGATGATCTTAAGTGCTCAAAAAAGGCTATATTAGGGTCTAAATACCCTGTCCACTACAATGGACATATAATTTATTTAAGATGGTTAAAATATTTTTTAAATCTCACATAAAAGATAAGTGTATTACCTTCAAAACAAAGATGCACACTTTAAATTCCAGAACTAAAAGTGCAGACAATATTTTCTGGCTTTGCAAAACATGGGCAGTAGTAGAAAATGAGGCACAAAAACTTAAACAAAAATCTTTGGATAACATGCCTGCATGAGAAAGCAAAAAGAACAGAGAACACTAAAGGATAAGAAGACCTAGTTTGAGTATTGATTCTGTTGACTAATATCTCTGTGATCTTCTTCAACTTAATCTCTCAGAGTCTTAGTTTCTTTACCTGTAAAATGAAGATGCCACCACTATTTACAGGGCTGTAGTACTTTAAAAGGGTAATTATCCAAAGAAGATGGGAACAAGTGAAGAGAAAGCCAGATGTTCTTAAATACATATTGGTGCTTAAAAAAATGTGTGGCTAATCAGCAAGCTTAAAATGAAAACAGCTGCAAAATGACTGTGACTGTTGTTCTGCATTGATGCCCAAAGGCTTGGTCATAATAAAATGAAAACAGCTGCAAAATGACTGTGACTGTTGTTTTGCATCTATGCCCAAAGGCTTGGTCATAATATTTAGGTGAAAAATTCAAGTAGTTGTATCTTGCAAAATGAACTTAGTTTCTTCAACATCATCAGATCTCATTTTATGTTTCTATCTTTAAATGAAAAGGAGGTGAGAGAACACGCACCTTGATTGAAAGTCTTCATTATCTGTGCTTGTCCGAGGACTTATGAGTAGATGACAAATTAAGGGAAAACAACTTTTTGGGGGGGGATGTGTCTCACCTTTTAGTACAATCCCTTAGCTTGCAAGGCCTCATTGGCTCTGACCAGCCTGGTAGCCCCAAACTCTACCAGCTCCGCTCCTCTGTCACATTTTGCCCTTCTAGTCCCCATGCCCCCAGCCCAAGGGACTTTCTGCTCCCTTTTTTCCTCTCAGTGATAATACAGCCAGAGGGACTATAAATCCCCAGTGGCATAGCACACCTCAGTCACTAGAGAAGTTTTTTTAAAAAAAAAATCAAGAACATCAAGTCTCCCACTTCCAGATTTTGTACATTTGAGAGGATTAACTGGAAAGACCATTTAAAAGCAAATAAGCCCTCAGGCATTTAGACCACATACTACAATGGTACAATTCTAAACATGACCAGTATCAAAGCTTTCCATTACACTGATAGAAAACATCAATGAGATGAAAAGGATATTGCTTCTTCTCTTCCTTTCCTCCTGAACTGTCCCGTTTCTCTTTCTTTTCTATCTTTTCTTTATCATGCCTGGACTCCTATAAGGAATGGTGGAATTAGTTGGGGAAGGGAAAACCAAATATAAAAATAAGCTCAAAATCCCTTTTTATCACCCACCAGCCATAATTTTTCTTCAAAAACTTACTTAATATGACACCAAAAGTACAAGCAAGAGAAAAAAATAGATAAATTGGACTTCACCAAAAGTAAAAACATTCGTGCATCAAAGAACACTATCAACAAAGTGAAAAGACAGCCTACAGAATAGGAGAAAACATTTGCAAATCATGTATCTCATAAGGATCTAGTATCTGAAATATATATAGAACTCTTACAACTAAGCAACGAAAAGACAACCCAATTTTAAAATGGTCAAATCGTCTGAATAGATTTCTCCAAAGATATACAAATGGCCAACAAGCACATGAAAAGATGCTCAACATCATTAATCATTAAGGAAATGCAAATCAAAACCACAATGAGATACCAATTCACACCTACTATAATAGCTATAATAAAAAAACAAAACAGAAAATAACCAGTGTTGACAAGGATGTAGAGAAATTTGCACCCTGATACATTGCTGGTAGAAATGTAAACTGTACAGCCACTGTGAAAAACAGTTGGTGGTTCCTCAAAAAGTTAAACATAGAATTACCATATAACCCAGAAATTCTACTCTTGGGTATGTACCCAAGATAACTGAAAACAGGTATTCGCACAAATACTTATAGCAGCACACAAACGTTCACAGCAGCACTATTCACAATAGCCAAAAGGTGGAAACAGCCCAAAAGTCCATCAACTGACAAATGGATAAACATATGTAGTATATTCACATAATGGAATATTATTTAGCTATACAAAGAAATGAAGTAATGAAATGTGCTACAACATGGAAGAACTTCAAAAACATTATGCTAAGTGAAAGAAATCAGACACAAAAGGCCACATTGTTGTACGATTCTATTATGTAAAATATTCAAAACATGTAAATCCGTAGAAACAGAAAACAGATTTATGGTTGCCAGGGGCTGAGGGGAGGGGGAAATGGGAGTGACTGCTTAGTAAGTAGAGAATTTCCCTGTGGGGTGCTGAAATGTTTTAGAACTACGTAGAGATGATGAGTGTGTAAAATCATAAATATATTAAATGTCAATGAATTGTACACTTTAAAAAGGTTAGTCTTACATTATGTGAATTTTACCTGAATTAAAAAACACTTAAAAGGAGTAGCCTGTCTTATAAAGCATAGAGAACTAAAACATTCACCTTATAATTTTCTATAACTGCTATGAAGTATGAATATATGGTATATATTTTGATTATATGCGATAATGCTCTGTAAACAATTTATACTTTAGTAATGGCTTATTACTTTATGGTAGATGCCTGAGATCTATTTCAAATATCATCCATTAAAATGTAAGAGAATGCACCTTATACTTAATTTTAAAATCAAATGTAAGTTAAAAAAAATGAGTTCAGTAGGAGAAAATGTTACAAAAATATGTTTCAAATCACAATTAATAAAGACTTTATGGCTGGGCATGGTGGCTAATGCCTGTAATCTTAGCACTTTGGGAAGCTGAGGCAGGCAGATCGTTTGAGCTCAGGAGTTTGAGACCAGCCTGAGCAAGAGTGAGACTCCGTCTCTACTAAAAATAAATAGAAAAAAAATTAGCTGGACAACTAAAAATATACAGAAAAAAATAGCCGGGCATCATGGCACATGCCTGTAGTCCCAGCTACTCGGGAGGCTGAGGCAGTAGTATTGCTTGAACCCAGGAGTTTGAGGTTGCTGTAAGCTAGGCTGATGCCACAGCACTCTAGCCCGGGCAACCGAGTGAGACTCTGTCTCAAAAAAACAAACAAACAAAAAAAAAACTTCATGACACTGTGATGGTCAGGGAAAATACATGTGACCATATTTTTAATTTTAAGAATAAAGAGGAACTAAAGGCAAAGAATTGGTGGAGAAAAAAGAAAATACAAAGAAAGGCTGAAACTCAATGAACAGAAATAGGTGGGAGTAGAATGGAGAGGAAAAGAATCTCAGATGTACACTAACTCTACCCTTTCAGGGATTTGGGACTGAACTGGCACAAATTCCCCAGATAACTTGCTCTCTCCCAATGCCTTCTTTTCCCAACCCCAAATATTTAACAAAAGACTATTTGACTAGGAAAAAACTCAATGTGTGCTACATTTTCAAAGGGTTGATTTTTTTTAAAAGAAAAAGCATATTATTCCTTTATTTTCCTAATTTACCTTTTTGCCACCAGAGGAGATCTTATCCATCTTCTCAGATTTAAATGAATCACCACCTTTTTCTTTGCCTGAAGATTTTGACTTATTTTTATCCTTGTCTTTCTCATTTGGATAAGGAGACTCACATGGACTTTCACTTTTGTGTTTTGAAACCCCCACTAAAATTACAAAAGAGAATCATGAAAGCCTTTTCCAATTCACTTTGACAATTGTTTCAAAGGTATTAATAAGGCTACCCCAGCCTGAGCAAGAGCAATATATCACATCTCCACCAAAAATAGAAAAAATTAGCGAGGCGTGGTGGTGCACGGCTGTAATCCCAGCTACTCAGGAGGTTGAGGCAGGAGGATCACTTGAGCCCAGGAGTTTGAGGGTGCAGTGAGCTATGATGATGCCACTACACTCTAACCAGGGCCAAAGAGTGAGAGCCTGTCTCCAAAAAAAAAAAAAAAAAAAAAAAAGTCTACCTACTTGTTCCATTTTCCTCTTTACGCCTCTTGGTCAAGTCCGGTGGTACTTCACGGTCATTGTTTGAGTGATCCTAGAACCAAGAATTGTGAACTACATTGACCAAAGGCTTATGTTTTCTTAAGTATTACTTTTATAAAAGAAGGGCACAGCTAACTAGCATTGCAGAATGTTTGCAGTAGTTTCGCGTACTTGGTAAAATGGCATGAAAGACAAGCAGAGCTGGGAGGGATTATTAAACTGAAGATCCTTATCACTATAGAAGATGCAAACACACTTCAGGGTGAATATACCAGTTAAAACACAAAATAATAGACTGCTATGGAACAAACTAGTATTTTTAAAAAGGCAACAAACATACTACTATATATAAGGAGCTTTCCAAACTAGTTTTAAAAAAATTACAAACCCTTTTCCGTTCTTTCCTGTCCTTTTCATCTTTTTTCTCTCTTTCTCTGGATCTCTCCCTTGACTTGTCCAAATCTTTCTTGTCCATTTCTCTCTCCTTACTCTTGGACAGTGGTGGAGGAGTATGATTAATGTAGAGCTGTTAAATTAAGGCAATATTACTAAAGATTATTAGTTTTCCAGTATTAGCATCATTTGCTTACTAAATGAAAGACAACTGGCAGTTAGACCCAAAGTCAAAACGGGTCAGGTATCTGGATTATGAAAGGTAAAATAAAAGGGCATGGCACAAATTATACAAAGCTTTTAGTCTTGGTCTTATAAAAATTACTATTTAAACTCTATCAGTTCATTACTGCCTCAATTGAGACTCACTAGTAAATTCACAAGCTATAGTGTTCCTTATAGCTCTCTTATAAAGACTTATAACCATCATTAAAAGCGTCCATATATGAAAAATAGTGATTGGACTTCTCTACTGTAAAAAAAAAGAAAACCAAAATGCAGGTACTGTTACAATATAACTGAAGTGTTTTGTTGTCATTCCCCCTGCTTAAAGCATTTGATATTTAATTATTTCTAACTCCATTCCATAGTAAGATGCAGATACTTGGTCTCAAACATTTTTCCTTAAGAAAGTAAAATTTTTTAAAAAGCCTCTATGTAACTATGGAAATTTTAAACAGTCTTACCATCCACCGATAGGTGGTCAATGATGACAATGAGCAAAAGTATAAAAATAAAACCTAGCCATGGTTTTACTCGTATGTCTTTTCTGCTTCAATGTGAACCATGCAGAGATTATCACAAATTAGTTTTACAAATGTAAAGGCTGAATATTCTGTACTTCTGAAAGCACTCTAATTTCTATCAAATAACCACAATTGACTATGAAATTTGTCTTGTTGGTTCTAAATAGCTCAGAAAACCATCTAGTGAGCTGAGGATTATTAAACAACCCAAAAGACTGAAGAATGATGAACCAATATTTTCCTCTGCCTATTCTTTATCTGCCAAAAGGCCAATAGGCAATAAAACAGACAAACAACAAGAGTATTCTAACTCTAAATAACTGAGAGATAACCCTATCTATGCAAGTGGTAAATATGAAAATTCATTATAAAAGAAAATATTTAGAAAGTACTCAGGAAATAATCAGATACTTAACCTATGGCATTTATAACTACTACAAGCTAATGTTTAAAACATTAAAAGTATTAGGCAGCAGAATACTGAATATAACCCATAAGTACAGAATTTTAAAGATACCTTAAGAATAAACAGAATAGTGAGTCAAAAGTCAAATATTTTTATACAAAGAAATCCTTTGGTATTCAAAGGAATACATGAATAAAGAAGACCATCAATTTGAGAGTTAAACTCTTATTTTTTAACACCACCAAACATTTTCAATTCAGTTGGCTCAGAAAATATTGCCATAGCAATGCAGAAGTGGATTCTTTAAAATTTCAATGTTTAAAAAAGTTGATGATAAACTGAAATAGACAAAATGTTTATTAATAACAAAGAGCAAGAGAATGATAAACAGTCATAAATATACTTGTCTAATAGATACTCTTGCTAGGCAGAATGCCTTAAAAGAGACTTCAAGATTTTTCTAATTGTGGTTTATTCATGTCTTAAGTAAATATTACTTGTGAAACTGATTAAGACAAAGGAAATAATATATTACTGCAATACTCAAAGAAGATTTCTCGACCAGAAGTATTGCTTAATTTTTCCCAATAAAAGAAAGGAAAAAAGGTTTGTGATCACTAAAACACACATGCACACACCCCTGGCAAGAATGAAGTTTTAAACCGTGCCTACTTAATTCTGTATTACAAGGAATTGAGAAACTTTTCTAGAACTTACTTCTGGTATTAATGTTCAAATATTTCATTCTTAACATAAAACAGTCGAATAACTCGACTAATATGCAATCAGAAATTCTTAGTTTAAAAATGTACCCAATTCCATTCCGTCTTTCTACCCTTCTAAGAACAGTTCTGATCACAGTACTCTTTTCCACAAAAACAAAGTTTCTCATTGCCTAATGAATAAAATGCATATTCTTTAGGTTAGGCATTCCAAGCACTCCACCATCTTTTCACAATTATATCATATGACACAGCCACCCAATGCATTCTATGTTGTGGCTATCACTGCTCCCTAACATCCTTCCTTTCCAGTAGTTCTCTTTACTAGAATGGTAAATCACTTTTACCTCAATCTCTTAAAATCCTACTTAGCCTTCAAAGACAGCTCAAAAGCCATCAGCACTCAACTGCCCCTCAACTCTACAACTCACTTTCTGATAACTCTTACATTATTTTACATGTACCTTTTTTGTGACAGGTATTCCCTATTAGTTTCATGTCATTTATTTTTGTCCATAAGAGTTTCTAGTATGGTAGGAGAACTACAGTGCCTTTTCTACTTTTATACACTTCCAAGTGCCTTGTACACACAGTGAGTACTCTATACACGTTTGTCAAATAAAATTAATGATTTGTTAAATTATCTGTATGTAACATCGCTGGATTTTGTTCTTGATTTGCTTTTATTCCTGACGATGGGATCATTAAGGTCCAAAAAAGAATCTGACTGATTTTCAAGATCTGTTTAAAAGAACATTGCTCCACTGACTTTATTAAGGCTTCAATATTATAAAGATGGCCTCATTTTTAGGCTTAGGTTTGATTGTAAATCCTGATTTTAAGGTGGTGAACAAATTAAAAGCTGAATTTTGCCTTCAGGTGGCTACTGCTTCCCTCCTAAATTGCACAGAGGCTTGGTTAGTAGAGTATGCTTTTAACACTTCTTCATCAAATGTAGCTGCTAGAATTGCTAGGGCAAAAAACAACTGATCAAAACTGGAAACATGCCAGTCAGAAATTATCGGTGGAGGGTGAAATGACAGAAAAGATTTGGATACTAAGCTAGATTTTTCTCCCTTTAACTAATCTCATTTGAAAAGACAAATCCATGTATTACTCTTACCATAGATTAGAAAGTGAAAATAGCAAATAAATAATAAAAAAGAGAATCTCAGAGACAAAGCATAACTAAAAAGTCAAACTAAAGCAAGGAAACAATTTTATATGTACAAGTAACAAGATAACATGAAAATAGACACATATCTTCCAAACCCTCTATAAAGGAAAAGCTACCCCAGAAACAGTGAAGTTATAATCAATTTTAGAGATCAAAATCCAGTAAAATATTTTTTCTATAACATTCATATGCTATTAAACTTTCTAGACATGTAAAAATGCAACATCAGCTACTATGCAAACTAGTACTTTGGATGCTTTAACGAAGTCCAAAGGCTTAAGAGTTCATTTCAAACAGTTACTGAATACCTAACCTTATTGCTAGGCACCATGCTAAGGACTAAATAAGCATCTTAAAAGTAGTATGAGTCATAACTTTTAGAATTGAACTTATAAGTCATTTACAAATTTTTCTGGCAGCATGTGGAATAAATCTACTGAATTTTAAATGCCCACAAAATCACCATTTTTTAAAAAAGCACTGCCAGATAAACCTGAATTACTAATTACAAAAAAAAAAAAAAAGACAAACACACTAAAGGAACTAAGAACTCTTTCAACTATTGTCGCAATAGGTGGTAATAATCAAGGAACCTTAATTTTAGTTCACATTTTGGTACTAACAAGTTGTTTGCCACTGGGAAAGGCCCAAGAACGTTTTCAGCCTCTCATTTGTCAAAAAGACACTACCACCTACCCTATCTATCTCACAGCATTGTTATTAGCATGAAATGAGACAGTATATGTTATCTCAAAAGTTTTATTTTCAGCCAGGAGCAGTGGCTCACGCCTGTAATCCTAGTAGTCTGGGAGGCCAAGGCGAGAGGATTGCTTGAGCTCAGGAGTTCGAAACCAGCATAAGCAAGAGCGAGACCCCATCTCTACTAAAAATAGAAAAAATTAGCCGGGCATGGTGGCATGTGCCCGTAGTTCCAGCTACCCAGGAGGCTGAGGCAGGAGAATTGCTTGAGCCTAGGAGTTTGAGGTTGCTGTGAGCTACGCTGATGCCACACTACTCTAGCTCGGGGAACAGAGTGAGACTTTGTCTCAAAAAAAAAAAAAGTTTTACTTTCACAAGGCTTTCAAAAATGTGAGGAACCATAATCTGCCTCACTGATTAGAAAATCCAATTAATTTTAACAGCAGGTTGCGAGCTGCTCCAAAGTATGTCTCAGTAAATACTCACAAATTAACACTGTTAACCCATTAATTTAAAATAGTCCACACAAGACACTGATGGTTAAAACTGACATATACAATCCCAAACTGGTTATGAAAACCTACTAGACTGCAATACATACTTAATTTACCCAATAAAAAGTTTTACTTTAAACAAAAGTACTCACAGTACAGCTGAGACAACTTTGATTAATACAGTATATTCTAAAAACAATGCTACAATTTTAGGGCACAGGCACATTGGCTAATCTAAACTGTTAAAAATTAGTGCTATCTGCCCAATATCCACAGACATTTCATTATAAATCTATAGATCTAAAAGCAGTTAGTAATATCATCTTGTTCTGTTTTAAAATTTCATTTGGTCCACCAGTAATCATGCTTAGTAGATTTATTTTTTAATCACACTTAGCAATATTTATGCTGCAAAATAGGCTTCACTCTGCTGGAAAGATTGATTTGCTTGTAACTTACAAGACGAGGCAAAGTAGAAAATCAAAGGAAAGTACAAATTTTATAATAATGAAGACAAAATAACATGAACAATGAACAATTCAACCATAATACTGAAATGAACTCTGTAATAAGACAGACAAACTGCACACTATTTTTAGTAGAATACTCAAATCAGAGTAAGAGGTGAGAATTAACACTGACATGTACACAACCACCAAGTTGAACAGTCCCCTGCAGGGGAATGATTATTTTAAATTAACTATATCTCCTAATACTATGTCACAACTACCAAAAAGGTACCTCAGCAAAGGATATATAAAGAATTTTATAGATTGAGATGAGCTTGGTTTATAAAACACTATGTGAATGCATCAAATTTATTTTTTGGTCTTTTGAGTTGTCTAAAAAACAGTCAGATAACAATCTGGCAGATTTGTTTTTAGAAATTAAATAAGCCTACTCCCCAAAACTCCTTCCCCAAATCTTAAACTTATTTCCAGATTTTTAAGCAGCAAAGGAGAATGAATAACACAGCAAGGAGAGATTTATAGAAACTGTTGCCACAGTACACACACAAAAATCTCATTAAAAGGGACCAATGTCATCTGTTGTTTCAGTTTGTGATAGGTATTTTCAAAGGTTATTCTAAGTAAGCAGAAAACTTTTTCCCACTGATCCTAGCTTGCTGAATTTACTAGGGTGAGGATATCTACTAAATAAAAGTAGTCAAGAACTTTTTGGTTTACTTAGGCATGATGATTTTAAAAGACTCAAACCTTTGCTGAAGACTCCTTGAAGTCGATGAGACTGTCCTGTAGAAAATGAATGGAGATGACAGGTGAGCTGGCATAGTTTTCAGAACCCAGAGGAACTTTGGGAAGTATGGCTGTAACCTGGAAATAAACCAGCTACTTCTTGTGAGGATAAATTTCATGATGTCATTATCAGTATGAATATCAACAATAAAAACAAAAACAAAACCATGTAATGGAATTGTAATGTTAAAAAAAAAAAAACTAAATTATATGCACTCAATGTAAGAAATAAAAATCTTTGCTCAGAATTTTTAAAAATTGTTGATGCCACGTTTTCTATATTTCTGTACTTAAGCTATAGTAACTTAAAAGGCTTAAGAAAGCAAAACATTTTTTCTCCACAAAAAGTTTAAAACAGTGGAGGTCACTGTGGAAGAGCAATATTGACTTAAAGTTTTTCTTTAATTGGGAGGTTTTAAATTTTACTTTACTCATAACTCCAATATAAATATACACATTTTTTAATCCTGAGTGGAAAATTCAGTGGCATTATATTAACAAGAAAACAAAATATATATGAGTATTTTTTTTTTTTTGCAAAGTGCCTATCATGGTGAATCTCACACCTCCCACACACAAAAAAAAAGCATTAAAAAAAAGAAAAAGAAAAAGAAAATCAATTACGATATTCCACCACAGTGCTCTTGATGAAGAATTAGTAACTTACAGTTTTAAAAGTTCAACGTACTGCAAATTCAAAGATTCCATGAAATTAGATGACTTTAGAATTAAAATTAAATATGGAGCAAGGAATGGCTACCCTGAGTCTTCAAGAAGGCTACACCCACGATTTTGTGCTGCAGTTGAATGCCTGGGGTTTCTCTTTGCTGGGTGGTAGGACTGGATGCCACATCTGCTTTTATCGTAACGCAAGGTTCAACTTGTTGGGAACCCAATGGGTATAAACAAACCTCCAAGGGAAGATACAACAGAAGCTGCATGCTCACTGAATACACACAACTACAGGAGAACTGATCACCAAGGAGACTTTAAAATGGAACTCCTTTCAAGACTCCTTCTTAGAAGGCACACATCGGTATGATGCTCATCAAGAAGCTTGATGAATTCAGAGGTATCTTGTTTATTCTGTATCATCCAGGAAGTCTTCATATATATTCTTCAATATTTATGCTGAAAAATAGGCTTCATTCTGCTGAAAAGATTCATTTGCTTGTAGCTACCATTGCACTCCAAAAAAGACTGCTTAAAGCAGTTGAGGCACTTCTGGGTAAAATTTTTCTTGCACTTTGAAACACTATAAAATTAGTGCTAGGTCCTTGAAGTTTTAACATTTTTATAATAAAAATACTCAATAGGAAAAAAATCAGTCCACCAATACTGAAAAAAATTCATTTTCTAATGCAATATAAAACCTCCAGTGGCTCCAGTGAATACTTGGCACAAGACTTGAAGGAAGTCAGGACACTGGTATTCCAAACAGGTGAGCCTAACATGGACGCTGCCTTCCTCAGGCTATACTAACCTTTACTGTGGAGGAATGTGATGGAGAAGGATGGGTATCAATTTTGCGGCGTTTCTGTTCTGTTAGGACAAAAAAAAAAAAATTGGTCAGAATAAGGAACATTCCTAGTTTTTCCAAACACTTAAAAAAAAATCACCAACTTTTAAGACCACCCAGTTCCCCTAGCAAAATCCCTAAATAATTCACCAAAACAAGGAGACAGTACCAACTGTACATTAAAATAATGAAAGATTAATACATATAAAGAAAGGTACACTTGCCCCTTTCAGGCTCTGCAATATCTGATCGGGGAACAGGTGACTTCAAGGACCCAGAAACTGGTGTTTTTTCTCCTCCTTTAACATTTTCCTTTGATTTCATTTCCTTTGCTATATCTCTTTCTCTGGATGGCTCCTTCTCTCTTTCCCTTTCTTGAGACGATTTTGATTCTACGTTGGGGACAGTGGTCTTGAATTTCTCATCTTTAGCTTTTTCTTCCTTCTTGAATTTTTCTTTCTCTTTGTCAGACTTTGGTGTTCTTTCCTTGGTCTCTCTTGCTTTTTCGTCTTTATTTGGCCGTTCTTCCTTCGGTTTTTCTTTACCATCTTTACCAAGTACCCTGGCCTCTGGAGTAGTAGCTGGAGTCTTTTCTTTTTTCTCTTTTTCTTTCTCTTTCCCTTTTTCCTTGTCATTTTCTTTAACAGCTTTGCTGCTTATGAATAAAAACATAGGATTTTAAGACAAATAATAAAATAAATCCCATGTTTGAAATCATAAAGGGGTTCTTACTGACTTCAAAAATACTGGAACTAAGGGAAGCCCTAAGAAAAAAACTAAAGGACTTTAAGTAGTACTTCTTTATACAGTAAATAATAAACAGAATCATAAATAGCAGATTAAAAAGAATGATTAAAACAATATCAAGCCCCTTTTTTGTATACATTCATACCCTTTGAGGATAACAAAGTAACAACCAAAAACATATCTCACAAACCAAGGGAGCTACTATCGGGAAATGGATTGCTTAGCTGGATGGATCACTATTCTAAATTAATGTAAGCTTTTCTTATGTTAAAGATCCTTACTCAGACTGTCCAGACACTGCAAACACTTTATTCTAACATTTTTTTTTAACTTCACACCTATATTCCCCTGTATATCTCATTAGGGGAAACAAAGTCATTATATAAAACATAATTAGGATGTTAAGCACATCCTTGAAATAGGGATACATACAAAATTTCAAACTCCAACACAAATGACTTTCATATTACTCAACTACCAGCCCCCTTCCATTCCTGAGGCTAACCATTTAAGAATTTAGAATCATGATACACAGCACAGTGATCCTACCTGTTAGAGCCACTATTTCCATTGCTTGAATTCCCTTTTGGTGTGGCACTAGAAGCTTTATTAACAGCTTTCACACCACACTGAGATCTCTCCCTTGATTTATCTGAAATAAAAGTAAGGTTTTGTTTAACATGCCCCGAATGTAAATAAACTATAATTTCCACACAAAATGATTAGAGAATTAGTAGAAAAACACCAGGGTGATACTAAGCCAGCATTGTATTTGTTATGTGATGGAAAACATTTCACTTTGTTCAAACAAAATGTATTACTTATGAGTTTCTATAAATAAGCATACCAGTCTCCTCAGTACTGCTTTCGTCTGATTTGGATGCACTTCCTATTGATGATGAAGAAGGCCCACCACCAGGCCCATTTTGTACACTGGCAACTGCATTCCTCGGAGAGGGGTCTTTGTGATGAAATTCATTTTCAGGTATCATGTATGACTTTTTACTTTTCAATTGCCCAGAGTAGCTGAAAGTCGCACAAAGTGTTTAAATATACAAATACAAATCGAAAAGCACAAACATGAGGTTTATAAGAATAAAATTAGCAAGTTATTTACTTCATTACTTGGTCCTAGAGAATAAAAATATTAATTTTCAGTAAGTTCTTAAAGGTTTTTATAGAAAGGCCTGCTTTTTTAAAAATAAAAATTTCAATATGAACTAATCCTTAAACTATGATGACTTTTTTCTTTTTGCTCTTAAAGATCTGATAACTCCACTGTGATGACAAAATTATATTTTCTCCCAATCAAGAAATACTATATATGGCTTTGAAACTATCATCCAGTATAGACCGGAATTTGATAATCAGAAGTGACAACTCTCACCAGCCTGTGGGAACATGATCGCATAATCTCCCATAATCTCCTGTAGTAAGGCAGAAGATAAACTTCAATACTGTAAAACATTTTAAAGTCTTCAGAATCCTTCTGTCATCTAGTCTCATAAATCACATTAAAGTATAATTTTGTTACCCCATAGCCAATGCATATAGATCTGGCCTCTTCTCTTTTTCTTCTTGGCAGATTTTATGTACTCTTCTTTCCAAAGCCTGACCCAGATTCAAAACTTTTGGGTACCAAGGAAGTATTTTTGTTAGCACAATCAAGATATTCCTGATGTGAGTATATTCGCCTGTTTCAAGGCAATGTACCGATGCCTACAACAAACATTTTAAGATCCATTATTATAAAAGTACAAATATAAAGAGAAAAAAATCACCTTTGGAAAATCCAATTTTTACCTTGGTTAGTTTGTAATGCCATTTATGTACGACATGTCGAAAATTTTCATAGTCTAATTGATCAGCTTTATTTCCACCATCAAATCCAGTTGCCCGTAATATGGTAAGGAATCCTGGATAGTTTCCACATTCCTAAGATAAAAAAGTCTGTCATTTGAAAGAAAATTTATGTCCTACAAAATAGCAGAAGCTGAACTCAAGTAGAACAGATCAATGTTTCCATGTAAAAACACCATGTTTATTTGAATGACAAGCAGTTTTCACAGAAATGTTTGACTTATTCAATGATATTAGTTTGGAATGTCAGTTTGAGATTATAGCACTTTTTAACAATGAACTAATTGTACTTTAAAACACTGTTTTACAACTGAATCTTAAACTCAGCTTCCTTTTTAAAACTGAACAATCTAGAGATTACTGGAAGTGGTCATCATATACATGGGTAAAATATAAGGGTTATTAGTCATACCTTTTCATATGTGGCTCTATCACTATGCCACCTGGTCACGGTCTCTAACATGCAGCAAAGAAATCTTCCATATCGACTAGCCTCATTTTCAGTACAGCTTGCAACTGTGTAAATTATGTCAGAGAAAACCTATAGGAAAAAAATGTTTGAAAAATATAAACAAATCAAGGTCAAAATCAGTTGGAAAATATTAAAGGATGTTATAGCAAATATTAATAAACAAGTAAGCTTAGCCAAAATGTATTTTCCCCTTTTATAGTCACACTTGCAGAGACCTTTGGAGATTTTGGTTTTTGTGGGGAAATAGCACATTGAGAAAGCAGCCCCTCACCCAAAAAAGAATTTTTATAAAGAAAGTTGATTTACAATGACAGAGGAAACAAATTATCATTATTATTACATAATAACTTCTTAAACACTAAGCCACATTACTGGGGTTGGGGAACAGTAAGCAGAGGCAAAGCTGATAGAAACTAGAAATTGGCAGCTGACATGCTGTACCATAAATGATGTTTTAAAACCATAAATTGTAGTAATATAAGAAAAAAGGCAGATGCAAAATCTGCGAATATGACCATACTAAAAAGCTTCCCTGCTTTTATATATATGCAAAGGTACAAGCGTCTTTGTTGTTTTATTGAGGAGTGAAGGTTCAGAATGGAGAAGAGAGTCCTACCTACTGTGACACAACATGCAAATGCAAATACTGAGTTAACAGTTTAACCTTGTGTGCTTATTACATATCAGGTACTACTCAAAGTGCTATTTATATGCAGTGACTCATTTAATGCTCACAACAATCTTATGATGTAGGTACTATTATCCCACTTTACAGATAAGAAAACTGAGGTACAGAGAGGTTAAATAACTTGCCAAAGATCATCTAGCTAGAAAGTAGTAGAGCTAGGATTCAAGTTTAGGCACTTGGCTCTCGAGTTCATGCTTTTAAACACACACAATAATACATCTATAGATTAAAATGTTTAGCTATCTCTGTGTGAGAATTTTTTTAAAGGTTGCAATAAAAAGAACTTACTCGATCATAGCAAAGAAGCGTGGAAAAATTTGGAGTTTTCTGTTGATGTACCAATTCAACAAAACGAGCACAGTACACAGCATCAATTGCTGAAAAAATACATCGAGGAAATATACACAGCTGTAGAAATTTTGTGATGGTCTCATTTTTGGTAGATTCTAAAAATAAGGGAAGAATATATTAAGTGGTAAACTTCTTCCTCAAGTGCCTCAAGACCACTAAACATGACAACATATTAACTTTAGTGTAGAGATTACTATAAAACCACAAACTATTTATAATTTGTAACCAAAAGGTCATGCTTGGGATAAGACTATCATTTTTACTCTGTGGACATTTTTTCTATCTACAATTTCTCCAGAAATATGATTTTATACAGAAAAGTTGAATGATAAGCTGCCAATATTATAGTTATAATTAATTTTACCAGCAAACTAAATCGGTTCCTTCAGTGAACACGTGATTCTACATTAATAAGAATGAAATAGTGAACACCTGAATTGAAACACACACAAAAAAACACTTCAACATTTCCAAAGTTATAAAGTTTTGCTTTTGTAATTTACTAGCAGCAGGAGTGTAACAATTCTAATAACTTACTTGCTAAAAGCCAGTTGTCCTTTTCCAGTTTTAATCTCTGTAGAACTCTCTGTACATGTTCCATCTGTTTCTTTTCTTCTTCAAGAAGCTTGTCCTGAAGGGCAGTACAGCGCTCCTTCTCTTTTTTCTTTTTATTTGGAGGCTACAAAGTATAAGTTAGATACTTTTCTAACTATATGCATATTACCTTCCTTCTTTTAATTAAAAAATTTGAAGAGATAAATGCTGATACTTTATAATTACTTCAACATGGATGTACAGTAAGTCCACCTGGATGTGCTTTTATCTCTATTCAACACATCCAGAATAGTGTCATCAAGTCTTCATATACCATCAAGACAGGCTACCTTCCCACCACTGATACTATTAGTCTTAGGCATAGAGTTATCTTTGATTCTTTCTTCTCCTTTATTCCTATATCCCACTTATTTACAAGTCTTGGACATTCCCACTACCTCCACCATAGTCCATGCCCTAGGTACCTCACAATGAATTATCCAAAAAACCACCTAGCTGGTCTTTAACCTAATGCTAGTCCCTTCCCCTGTAAAAAGCATCCTTCATATGGCTGTCATAACCTTTTGAAAGTCTTTTTTTGGCATTATTACTTCTCTGCTCAGGAATCTAAAACAGTTTTCAATTTTACCAAGTATATTTTTCCACCTGACTTTCAATGCCCTACATGATCTTGCCCCATCCTAACTATTCAAATTTATCACTAAGCACACTCACTACAGTAAAAGTGGTCTCCTTAAAACCGAGAGGAGTTCCTGCCTTTGCTGGAACCTAGGAGTGACCTACCTATCTACTTCCATATTTCCAAACCTAATCTACCTTCAAGTCCTGCCCAGCTCAAGACTCAGCTTTTCGATAAGTCTTCTCCTCTTGGGAACTCCTACTGTTCTTACAAATAGAGTTACACAGATCACTTTAAGTTACTAACACAGTCATAAGTAGAAAAGCAAATTGAAATACTCCTTGATTAATCATAACCTCACCCACCAAGCCCCTGCCAACCCATTAAGAGGTTACCATTAAGCCTACGTAAGAAAATATTATATGCCGACAAGATCATAGCTTTAAGGAACCTGAGCTAAAAAATTTCAAAGTATGGGTAACACTGAATTAATGCCATAAAGTTATTGTTCTTGAACTACTAGAACAAAAACCTACCATTTCCTGATTGTCATCAATTGCTTTCATCTGGACTTTAAGTTTATTGACTTCTCGTTCATAGCTGGTGTGTGGAACTGCAAGGTCATACATTGTCAACGACCAGAATGTGGCATAGAATTGAGGGCTGATGTCATCCCAGACTTTGGAAACGTGTAAGGAGACCACTGCTTCATGGACAGGAGCCATCACCAACTCACATGATGTAATGTACTTGTGAACTTTATGTTGCTGTTTACTTCCCTTTTCTGACTTTTTAAGTTCATCATACTTTGACTGCAGATAAAAAGCAAAAACACATACATACATACATACACATGTACACAACACAATTTATAGCTTTGACTTTCACGGTTTAAAAATCTATATTCCCTTTTAAAAAATCTAAAGACTATCAATCTCAAAACTGTTACAGAATTCTAGTTTCTTACTCACAACATTTATTTTAAGATAAATCATCCCTGGAGGTTGTTCCAATCTTTAGTCCTGTGCACTGATTAGGAGTTTTCAGAAGGTTCTACTGAATCCAACCTGTCGAGTAAGTGAACAAGGTATGTGTGCCCCTACCCCATCCATCCCACCTACCCTACACTCCTTCTTACTTACTGCTGTATCAGGAATCGAACATGTAGGGCTTCCAGTCCTGCTTTTGAGATATTCAAGGGAACCAAATAGAGGGTCTTAACATTAGTTAAGGGGCAGAAGGGAACTATTAATAGTAACAGCCAACCAGAACAAAATGTAGTATCAATCACTACGTGTAGTCCCTACCAATTGTTATAATGTATCAATTAAGGAGCTGGATCAACACGAAGAAAAGTTATGAGTTACTATGAATATAAAACTAGTAAGTACGGTGACCAACTGTCTGAGTTTGCTGAGGATTTAGGGGTTTCCTAGGATGCAAGATTTTAATGCTAAAACTAGCAAAGTTCCAGGCAAACTAGGACCAGCTGATTACCCTACTGCTAAGCCAAATAAAATTTTCTACCAAAGGCTGTGGTATACTGAAGTTTAAAGCATGTGAGAACTGACACTGCAGCTTCTTTGGCCTGACTGGTTTATCCTAATTTGGGAAAGAGTCAAAGAAAGGCCATACTCTTAATTGTATTAAAAAAAATCTGTTAGCACAATAGGAGGTACTACATATTAGTTCATAGATATGTGTATGCCAAATGTAAAAGAAAGAAAAGAACACTAGGTAGAGTTCTTGCTATTGCTTCATGTCATTCAGTCTCTTTAGGATGAAAAAGTTCTCACCCAGAAAATGCTTGATTGGGTTAGGCATCATCCTTAAGATGAACCTAAGAGACTAGGTTCTAAAACTAGCTATTTTTTATGTTAGAAAATCACTTAAATCATTCAGTTTGTGCTAAACAAAGGTTCTACTTCCAGTTCTGCACTGTGGTAAGCAAAAGTGTCTCAGCAACTTACAGTCCAGTTGCTTCCCTGCATGCCTCCCTTCCTGAGTGCCCTGAGTGCTGCTATACTCCCAGCCTCCCTGGACTGAAAGTGTACCAAGTTCTCTTTGTTCCAGAGGGTATCTCAAGCAGGACCTGATAATCTTACAACCGTTCTAGTAGTAGGAAGATTTATCTCCTGTTATCCCCATTTTAGAAAACATGCTGATAACTACTGTGACCACACAAATGACAAAGCTAAAAAAACATTAGTTATGAGAGAGGGATCCCAATTACATCAGAGACCTGAGAGAATAAGAGCTGGGATAACAATGCATTGTTTAATTTAGAGAGGTCTTATTGAAGGTAATTAATACGAATCTAGGTGAGCAGCATGACAACTGCTATGGTGCTAACAAAACATGGGATAAAATAGTGCTGACACTACCTGCATAAGATAGCCTAGTTACCTGATTTGGGCAATATCTAGAATATGAACTGAGCTCTTTCAGACTTCGGTTAAATGGAGAGGTATAACAGTTCCATATATCTCAAGTCACCTGGGAAACTAAATGTATAGAATATAACTAATATCCACAGTTACTTCTGTACTTCTGATTATTGTTCAAAAGTCTATTGTTGGCCCAAGAATCCGAGAAGTGTTTGGCTCAATTTTTCTCAAGAGAGCCTGGTGGTAGTCAATTTATGGAGGGGACCTAGCAGTCATCTAATACTCATACATTTCCACTCTTTCATCGAAGGGTCTTCAAGAGAGGCTTTCACGTAAGAAACAAAAGCAAGGATTCCCAGGGCAGGTTGGATGCCCATCCAGTGCAAACAAATTGTCAAGGAACTCCCTTTCCAGAGAGTGGCATATGTGTTACAGGTAAAAGACATATCCCTGACTTGTCTACATAGCCACTTCCATACAGTTCTCTATTTTCTTCCTCAACTCTGAGAGGAAAATGCCATTTCTTTGTTTAGATTTCTAGATTTCTTAAAAGACAAAGACAATAATTTTATACAGGCTAGAGAAAAAGTAGCTATTGGTATGAATGACCTGCTCCATTTTCTGACCTGGAAAAGTTCAGCCAACCTCAGGCAACCAGGTGTTCCTGTTTGCTAGGGTTCAATATCGCTGATTAGTGTGTTCACTTCTCAGTATAGCACAGGGCAGGTCAGAATTCCTGAGATGAAGCAATTCTCCCACCTCAGTCCTTCAAGAAATCAGGTCCCCTGTTGTATAGCTGAGACTGATCTACTGTGGGGTGGGGCGACAACACAAGACATAACTACACAAAGACAGCATATAATTCTCTGGATTGAGAGACTGTAAAAGGGAAGACCAGGCCTAACACCACTCCCTTATCCCTTTTCCCCCTCTGGAGCATACAGCACAGGAATTGTTCTATAATGCTGATAGAGTGATAATTAAATCAATAACAGTTAGCTATTAGAGGAAAGTGGGAGGCTAGAGCAGCTGATATATAAACACTAACAGCAGATAGCTGATTAAATGAGCAATTTAGACTCCAAATTTCTCAGCACCTTTTTTGCATACCTCTACTTACTACACAGCTCTGTATCCCTATTAGGAACAAAGAAGGGATCATAGTTGAAGAGAAAGGACCAAGACCTTCCCCAAAATCTGTAGTGAAAGCCTTGTATAATACAGACTTAAAAACAACAACAAATAAACAGAAGGGCCAGAATCTAAGCCTACAGAAAATTAAAGAATATGCTGGAGCTCCAGTCAGAGTAGGGAAGTACCACAGTTTCCAGAGGATTGACCATGGCCCTGAGAGGAAAGGAAAAGTAAATTGCCATTAGAGGTCACTTCTTTGCAGGGAACATTCCAGCTGGCAGACGAGGGAGGGCTGTCTCCTCTCCCCTCACATCCTTACTTGAATTTCAGTATAGTCACTACTGGGATGCCATGCTGGGGAAGTTTCTAGTTTACTTCTGAGCAGTTTTTTGTTTGTTTGTTTTTCTGGAATAGCTTCATTTAAGAGGAGAGAAAACAAGAACCACGAACACACCCTTTCTAGAAGCTACATAATAGAGAAGGCAAGAATTTTTGCCTTTCTGTTCATCTTCCTTTCTTTGAAGGCAGTATGGGTAATAGCAAGTCTGACAGGGATATTGTCACTGAGGAAACAAGACTCCCTGTAGTCAACAGGAGTGTTTCTCAGAGTGATGTACCTAGATTCATATGCATCAGAATCATCTAGTGCATATTTAAAAATAAACAAAACTTAATTTAAAAAATTCCCAGGCTCCCTTTAAGTTGCTGAATTAGAATTTCGGGACATGGGATTTTGAGTTTTTAAGATGCTTCTCTGGTGGTTCTCATCTACACTAATGTTTGAGAACTACAGACCTAGAGGGTCCATAAGACATCAACCTGGACAATTGGTGGAAAAGTAACAAGAAAGTTACAGAACCGGTAAGATCTATCTTTAAAAGGGACATATTCATTGTACGCTGCTCAGAGCTGAATATTAACAAAAGAGTAACTCTCTAAGAGACAAACTATTATCTATGTCAAACTAAAATGCATTTACAAATAAAACAGTTAAGAAATAATTTGTAATCATAACTCAATGGCAGCAAAGATACTTGTACTTACCGAAATATGGTGTGCATACATTGGCCTAGACAGGAAAAATGCTGCATCATGGGGTGTATGAAATTCATTACAAAGCACATCAATTGAAGGCACTCGCTTTATATAATCTTCTGTGCTTAGATTAGATGCTAAAAACCCACCAAACTGTACCAGGGTATCATGACACTAAATTTTAAAAATAAAACAAAAAAATAAAAAAAAAGATGTGCTACAATTTTACAAAATCAACAAATATTTTCCAAAATGATTAAGACACATCAGTTTAACAATATTTTGATTAACAAAGAAGAATCCAAATTTTATAACTTAAAAGGACTTTAAAGACCATCTACAAACATAATCACATCATAATATTACCAAAAAAGATGCCAAGGTCCTGATAGGTTGTCTAATCCAAGGCTTTAATAGTCAACTGGGTCTCAAGTTCCATGCTATTGTTTATCACTTTTAGTAGAATATATTTACCCAAATCACATAAAACAATAAGTGTAGGCAAATAGAAATCAACTCCTTTGTTCTTAAAAGATGAAAACTATTTATATATTTATAAATGTTAAATATCAACACCTATGATTAGCCACAAAATGTATTTATCACCAACTATAATACAAAGAAAAAAAGGACATAGCATCTATTCTGTTGTGATTGAAATTTCAGATTTACAGAGATTAGGAAAGATATAAGAGCAAACAGCTTGAAGTTAAAGGAATTTAATGAAGGAATGCCTAATTGAAACCTTATATATAACATCTCCTAGAACCATCTCTTAAATTACCATAATTTGCACAGAAATAGGCCCTATTTCCAGAATGTTCACTTTACATTAGAGCTGTTTCATACTCATAAGATGCACAAAAATGACATTTTTCAAATTATATCACATTCTCAGTTTTTGTTTAACAGGACTAAAAAAGTCTACATAAACATAAAAGCCACTTTAACTTGCCTGGTCATAGAGCTTTCCCACAAGTTTCAAATGCTTCTCTCCGCCTTCCTGAAAGACTACCCCATTCCTCTGCTGAGCCATAAGCAAACACAGAGGAAGAGCAAGATCATGATCCAATAGTGCATCCTTTAACCTTTGAGAGGATTTTTTAGTGTTTCTGATCTGGCCAAAATAACCACCCTATGCAAGAGAAGACACAAATTTACTAGTGTACAATACATAACCCATGCCACCTGATTTGAAAAAGAGAAAAAAGTTGAGTTACAATACTTAATATAAAAAAAACTCCTACATTCTACCTTCCTTCCCCTTCTTCACAAATTTATTTTAGTGGCACTATTACTGATTATAGTCACTGGCTTAAAGATAACTGCCAATTGTGTTTAAACTTCTGCATATTTTCCACTTTACAATCTCTCATAAAGGATTATTCTTTATTCAGTGTGGAACAGATTCAACACAGCAACTATGTTAAGATTTACAGCACTAAGGATATCAAGGATCAAAAAGATTTGGTATTTATTTTCCTTATAGATGTATTACTGTCTTTTACATTTTGTTTCAGTTTTTAACATATTAACTACCAGGAGAGTTGTATTAACTCATGCTAAAGCCAAAGGACCTTGTGAAGCAAAACCTGGGTAAAACCCTGCAGTTGGTTTATGAAAATCTTGATGTTCTTATTGTTACAATTAATATTGACAAATTAATTCTAAAAAGTGGATTAAATGAATAAAAGTCATAAATTTTGTATTTCATTAATTTTTTCATTAAATTAGAAAGTATCATTTTGTTTTTATTTAGGGATCCTGAGAATCGCTAAATTATATGTATATAAATATAAGAGATGGGGCCGAAGTGGTTTTTAAGAAACAGCATTCCTAGAACTATACTGAAAAATAATTTGCTATATATATATTTACTTAATTTTACTTGGAAATAACTTCAAAGTTTTTATTCTATTTCCATAATAAAAGACCGTGGCCCCCAAGGAAAAAATTTTTTTCTAGTGTGACAGTCAATGTGTTAAAAAAGGTTAAAATAACTAGTCTCAGCCAGGTGTGGTAGCTCACGCCTGTAATCCTAGCACTCTGGGAGGCTGAGGCAGGAGGATGGCTCAAGGTCAGGAGTTCGAAACCAGCCTGAGCAAGAGCGAGACCTCATCTCACTAAAAATAGAAAAAAATTAATTGGCCAAGTAAAAATATATATATAGAAAAAAAAAATTAGCCGGGCATGGTGGTGCATGCCTGTAGTCCCAACCACTCAGGAGGCAGGAGGATCACTTGAGCCCAGGAGTTTGAGGTTGCTGTGAGCTAGGCTGACGCCACGGCACTCTAGCCCGGGCAACAGAGACAGACTGTCTCAAAAAAAATAAATAAATAAATAAAATAAATAAAAAATAACTAGTCTCTCTCTTGCTGGAATGCAGTGGCACAATTATAGCTCACTGCCTCAGCCTCTCAAGTGTATGTTTCAATTTTATAAGAGGGAAGTAGGGGTGGCTGTGAGAGGAAAGTATGTATAACTTTGACATTTGGTTTTATGTACTTATATATTATTTGGATTCTTTCCTATGATGATGCATATACACTATGAATTTTAAAAGTTGATAACAAAAATAGCAACTCTCACCTCAGCTTTTAGCTGCTCTCCACCAGTCATGGCTTCTAGTTGCTCCATTGTCATTTCTTCTGTAATTTCTATTCCTGCCATTTTTTGTACCACTTCTTTCAATATAAGCAGGTCAAAACTATTCCAAAAAAAATAAGAAACAGTCTATAGTTAAAACTTCAAATATAAAAGTGACAATATATTATAATTAATATCTTGAGAATCCCTAAATTATATGTATATAAATATAAGAGATGGGGCCGAAGTGGTTTTTAAGAAACAGCATTCCTAGAACTATACTGAAAAATAATTTGGTATATATATGTTTACTTAATTTTACTTGGAAATAATTTCAAAGTTACAGATAGGATGCAAAAACAGAAAACAAAAATAGTACAAAACATATCCACATACCCTTTACCCCAACTTCATCTATTAACATTTTTACTTCTGTTTGCTTTATCATTTGTTTTCTCTCCCTCCCTCCCTCTCCCCCTCCCTCCTCCTCCTCCCCTTTGTCTGTCTACACACACATACACACATACACAATTTTTTTAACCATCTGAGGATAAATTATTTATATCATGGCCTTATACCCCTAAGATTCCTAAGAATGCATTTTCTAAGAACAGAACTATTAATATAGCACCATTATCAATTTTAATAAATCTAACATTGAAATAATAATTTAATATACCATTCATATTTCATTATTAGCTGACCCAATAATGTCCTTCAGAGCATTTTTTCTCTTCCAATACAGAATGGCCAATATATTTTTGATGATATACAGCCATCTCCCTAAACAATCCAATTACTAAAAAGGAATAAAGATGTAGAATAGTCATATATACTTGGAAGAAAGGGAGGGAAGGAAGGAAAAAGAGGAAGGGAAGTTCCAAGTTGTGATATGTGAGCCAAAGATGACAATTTAGTGGGCAGCCCTAAGCACATTTTAGTAATGTGCTGATAGTTATGCATTTTAATCCTCAAAGTTTAGGACTACCAATGGAAATAACGCCTTATGACTTCTAAGATTTTCTTCAATTAGTTAAATAATGAAGATAAAGCAAAAACATTCTTTCATAAAAAACAAGTAACAGATGTTTTCCCAAAGGTAAAGTTAGACCCAAGAAACAAGCTAATAGACAAAGGAACAGCTGTCTAAGATTCTTATCAAGTGCTTATTCCCTCAACTTGCCTTACTTATCCTCAAGATAGTTCTTAAAAACAAGAGAGCCCTCATGCAAAATACTATGCAAGTACCAATGAAACAATTTTAATTTTTCCTTAAACTATGTTTTAATGAGATGGTCACAAAACTGTATTCACAGTACAGAAAACTGAGTTATAGATTAAAAAATAATGTATGTTCCCCTGGCCTATAGACAGAAAAGAGTAAAATGTATAGAAATGGCCAATAGATGAGGATAAATGATGTGCTGATAAACTCCTGAGCACAAATATTTTTTAAAAGTTTTCCCTAAGTCAAAATAAGAATCTGTCAAGAATTACCTAGGGAATTACTTGTTTGGAACACCAAACAGCTTGTAAGTTTTTGTTTGTTTGTTTTCTACCAAAAAGATTTTGAAAACAATTTCCACTTCTTTGATTCTAGTCAGTTTACTGCTGGTGAAGTTTAATACCTTGTACATAATTCAAACTCTAAACGCTAGTATCAGCCCCCCAAAAAATAAGCTTCAGTATTTATAAAGAAAAGAGGACACTGTCCAAAAGGTATTTAAGCCTTATGTATCTCTAAAGTTCAAATTCAAAAATTAATTATATTTTAAGGATACTATATACACCCTCAAATTAAATAAGCATGTTTTACTAGATGCTCAATGTAATAAAACTCAATCACTGTCCAGTAGCATAGTCAATGGTGTGATAAGATTTACCATAAGAGGAAATACAATATACCATATCAGTCATTTACTCAAAAGCCTAATAGGTAGTCAAAATAATTTAAAGTGTCTTTTTAGTGAGTTAACATATAGCCAAATATTACATTTATTCTTGAAAAAAAAAGTCTCTTTATGTACTAAGTTATCATATAAGGGAGCAACTATTCTACTTGAGCCTACAATCAACAAGTAGTCTTTCAGGATAACAGCAATCTCAATACCCTAAGACCATCAGAAGTACTCTAATTACTGAATTTCATTTATGTATAATTTGCTATGAATACCTTTTGCCCGCCTTTAGCTGATTGGCCACATATTGAAGAAGACCAGCAAGATCAATTGGATATTTACGAAAAACTGCACCACAGAAACTAGCCAGACCTATATGAAATAAAAAAGGAGTAAAAACAGTTTATAAAACAAAAAGCACAACATTGTCATTTCTTTAGCTAAATTTCTAAATGAAAATAAGTTTGGAGTAATTGTATTGCTGATGCGATTGAACAGAGGTTTATAATTAATAACTAATATTTATTGAGCATACATATGACAAGCACTATACCGAGCGCTTTATGTTGATTATCCCATTTAATCCTTGCCGCTATGTTAGGTTAGTATAAACCTATTGACAAGGCAAATTCAGAACAGATATGTCTCATAACTTGCTCATGGTCATGGACTTAGTACAAAATAGAGCAGTGATTCAATCTATGCAGCCTGATTCCAGATGTCTGTGACATTAGGACACAATGAAATCTTGGCGATGACTCAGAAACTTGAATAAACAGCAAAACGCCCACCCCTTGGATGTCTGAGTCAAGAAAAAAAAATCTCTTTTTATCTAAGAACATGCTACTAGTTGTAGAGGGGGCAAGAAAATAGGTAAAGTATTGCCAAACCTAGAAGCAGATAAGAGACCAATTTTAACCAATAGTCCTTAATCATATCGTGAATAGGGAGGAACCCCAGTCAATACTTAGTGTAGGAGATTCTAGTAAAGTCAGGTACTCTATAGTTTATTCCACAATTATTTGTTAAGCACTTAAATGATAACAGACAAAATACAGGTCCTGCCCTCACAGAGCTTAGACTAGTGAAGGATACAAAAAGTAAACTGAAATAACTATGATGAGTAAAAGGTTCTATGGGAGTATAAAAGAGGAGCACCTAATTCAGACTTGTGAGTAGTGAAAGCTTTCCAAAGGAAGTGAAATCTAATGAATAAATAGAACATGGAGTGGGAGAGATAACTTGGAAGGGTATTCCACGTAGAGAAAATAGCATGTGCCAAAGGACCATGGAAAGTGCAAGTAGTTCAGTACTAATGGAACTCAGAAGATTGGGGGGGGGGAGAGATGAGGCTAAAATGGTGATTAAGGACCTTATTTCAAAAGAATTTACTTATATGACTTATAAAAGATTTCAGACTTTAAAGGACAAATGGGGAGTCACATAAGATTCAGTTACAATAGGCTGAAAGATATAATGGGTTGAAAGAAAAAGAACTAATTGCTAGAAACCAAAGACAGAAGAAATAATAAGAAATGTGCCTAGATTTTTTTTGCTACACATTCAAGTTTTTGTTCTTTTAAGATGCCTAGAACCTCAGGATGGAATGGGAAGAAGTGAGACTAATTCTCTCAAGACCAACTCCTCCAAAATGACATTACTTAAGGAGAAGAGGATTTTCGCCTCCCCAGTAATGCTTATCCAAATTCTATCATAGTCTTTTGAATCAGGAAAATGAGTAATATGAACCTTCTTACCTAGCCAAGTGACTTGATCACCCTGTAGAACAAGCTGAGTGCCTAGATAGTCTCATAAACTCTTAACAAATAGGCTATTAAAAGTCTCTAAGCATAGTTAGTAACAGAATGTCTAACATGGCAATTACCACAGACAGTAATTTCAGTAATTTGGAAAAATAAAAACACTTACTCTGAAGCCAGCTTGAGATGGTTGTGTCATCATGTTTCATTCTCTCCTTTTCTGGATTGGCTAAAGCTTCAATGATACAATCTTTCATACATTAAGAAAAAATGTTTAGTCATAACATCTCTAACAAAAACCCTTACAACAAAAAATGACATGTCTTGAAAAAAATAAGTTTGCTTCAAGTTATTAAAAATTATTGAAAAATACACTGTGGTGCCAACTTTTCTTCTTTAGCCTCTTTTCCATCTTTCAGCAAGCAAGGAAGATTCCACCTACATCAAGATGTTTGGTAAACCTAACATCTCTCCCTTTATACAATACAAAGACACACAAACATGCATACTCACTCACTCTCACACTGCTGACTGGCCAAACTTCAGAGCAGCCACCTGAATCAACCTCAGATGGTTACTAAAGGAACTTAGAATGAAAATAAAACGTTTACCATTAAGATTTATGAAATGTGAAATCTATGTATTACTTCGCTTGAAAGGATACATGCCAAGACATCATAATTCAATGAAGTGAGGTATTTCAATGAATCTACTACAGGTGTTATTAAGTTATCATACTTCTGTATTTGTGACAAGATCTGGAAGACAGCAACAAAGAACATATGGTATTAAGTAATCAAAAGAGGACTCCTGCACCAACTAAGTAATGGCTATACTTCTTACTTTTCAAAAGAAAAAATAATGCTTATAATTAAAGTGGTTTCCTATCATTTCATATTTATATAAAACCTACTATTCTATCATTGCCTTAGAGAGTATTTTTTAGGCTACATTTTCCAATTAGGAAATAATTCCAGGAAGTCTAAACTTGGATTTTCACATGACAGAGGCTAATCTCATGTCAAAAGTGTTTTAGAAATCTCTTTCTAAATATGAAATAGTGTCATATCTGAATCACAATAAATTATAATTCAAATGTTTCTAAATACTAAAAACAAGTAGAAATCAAAATGTGTATTACTGTTACAGAGAACAAGAAAAGTAAATCAGTGTTAAACATACTGTGTAATAATTCAGTTTGTAGCATAACCTAACAATGTTTCATTTCCTAACATCATTATATTTCCACTTGATTTAAAAACAAAAAAGAAAATCCTTTAAAATTAATATTAGCCTCGAAACATACATAATCAAACAAAATGGTTGGATTGCTGTGGCTCAATTTCCCAATTTGTCTTCCAGAAGGCTTCACATTTTCCTTGGTTAGGCGCCTACAAGGGGAGAAAAAGGTGGCAAGTATCATCTTAAGTAACATTCCTCATAACATTGATAGCTTTGTAACATCATTGGGCGTGGGGATGCAATTCTTTTCCAAATGTCCAAAACAGATCCATGTAAACAATGACATTCATCATATACTTTATGACAGGGCATGGGATACTCTGGTTAGGGATTCTCCCAGAGAGTATTGAGATTTTATGTTAAATGCTTAACATTTATAAAATACACATTTCTACCTTATAGTAATAGTCTAATAATCATTAAAACTCTTTAGATACTCAACAAGTACATAAAACTCTTCTTACAAAGAATCATAATTATTTTAGATTTAGAAGAACTCATCTATCAATTTAGGGATTAATATATCAAATTTGATGTGATGTAATGAAATGCCTCAGGCCATCTGGCTCAGTTACCCTAACAGAGTAATGGCTAATGCTATCCTCCTGAATATGAAAGCTTCTCATATTCAAGATAAACATCTTTTAAAAAACTAAATTCTATTCTTTTTCTTCCTATTTTTCCTTCTCATTCTTTCACGATTCTGCAAATTTATATCTATGAAATTCTCACAGTCCAAAATAATTACACAGAATCTTAAACTAGTCTGATGCAATTATTACAAAATAAATCTAGAGGCTGGGCGCAGTGGCTCACACCTGTAATCTTAGCTCTCTGGGAGGCCAAGGCGGGCGGATCGTATGAGCTCAGGAGTTTGAGACCAGCCTGAGTGGGAGTGAGATCCCGTCTCTACTATAAATAGAAAGAAATTAATTGGCCAACTAATATATATATAGAAAAAATTAGCCAGGCATGGTGGCACATGCCTATAGTGTCAGCTACTCAGGAGGCTGAGGCAGAAGGATCACTTGAGCCCAGGAGTTTGAGGTTGCCGTGAGCCAGGCTGACACCATGGCACTCACTCTAGCCTGGGCAACAAAGTGAGACTCCGTTTCAAAAATAAATAAATAAATAAATAAATAAATAAATCTAGAAACTTGAAAAGGTTACAAGTTACAGGAAGGAAGTGTTTTAGAATGAAAACATAATGAAGTAAATTATGAACTCAGTTTATAACTCAGGGAATGGGGCCACTCTCCAAGTGACAAACTTGCTATAATTATCTTAAGAAGCTTCTTATAACAAAACTGACCCCATCAATCATCATAAACTGGTTCCCTTTCCCATTCTCCATGGCCCAGTTTGTTTTCTTATGTTTTGTTTCACAGAAAAGAGAGACCATTTCTTTTAAACTTTGGCTATACAGTATTCTGTTCCACCTTCAAACTTAATCCTATTTCAGGTGCCCCCCCCCTCCACTTGCTAAGGCTAACCCCTCTGTGTGTTTTATTCCATTCCCTTCTGCCTCCATCACCCTGGAGGGAAAAACAAACAAAAATTAAAGAAATATTTTCTTGACTATTATGTCTTCCCCTCAAGCTACCATGGTATCTGGCATATGGAACACAATGAGCATTTGTAGAATTAATTATTGAATGCACTATAGCAAGCTCATGTTTTAAACAGTATTCAAAACTTGTGAAATTCTACAAGCAATAAATTAATACATCCATTCTCAATGTAAAAATTAAAACAACAAAATCATATTGTTCAAGCCTGATGAAATAGCTATAGCTTACAAATATAACAAAAATCCAAGTATATTTACAATCCCGCACTTAATTGTTCTATGGTAAATTTTTTGTTTATTCATTCATTCATGTTTATACCTACAATGACAGGCAAAGTGCTAAGCATTCAAAATATAAGCATAATCACTTCTCAGCCTTTTGGCTAGGATTAAGTGTATAAATACTAGGATGGGCTGGGCGCTGTAGCTCACATCCATAATCCTAGCACTCTGGGAGGCCAAGGCAAACGGATCATTGGAGCTCAGGAGTTCGAAACTAGCCCGAGCAAGAGCAAGACCCTGTCTCCACTAAAAATAGAAAGAAATTAATTGACCACCTAAAAATATATATAGAAAAAAATTAGCAGGGCATGGTGGCGCATGCCTGCAGTCCCAGCTACTCGGGAGGCTGAGGCAGAAGGATTGCTTGAGCCCAGGAGTTTGAGGTTGCTGTGACTATGACACCCACGGCACTCTAGCCTGGGCAACAGAGTGAGACTCTATCTCAAAAAAAAATTAAATAAATAGATAAATATAAATAAATGCATACATACTAGGATGAAAAATAATCAAATTTCAGAACAATCCTTATTACATGCTACCAATAATATTAATGTAAATGCGGGAATAACATATTTATATTGGTATTATATATATATATATAATATTATATAATAAATAAATAAAATAAATATCTGGAAGGATTGTTTCAACAGTGGTTACATTTTTTCTGGGGGCTGACAGAGTTGAGTAGATGGGAGATGAGGTAAGAGATTTTTTTTTTTCCCCATAGAGAGGAGGTCTCACCAAAGACCAGTACAGGCTGGTCTTAAATACCTGGCCTCAAGCAATCCTCCCACTGTGGTCTCTTCAAAGCACCGGGGTTACAGGCGTGAGCTACCACACCCAGCCCAAGACTTTTTCCTATATACCTTATTTAGTAAAATTTAAACCATGTAAATGTATACACTATACAAAAAATTAGATAATTAAAAAGAAAAACAATCATAGCAATGTACCAAGAGGTGCTGATAGCATTATATCCATATGGGATAGTGGTGGCACAAATAAGGGATCAATTGTGTTTGGCAGTTTGTGTTAGGGAAGGCCTCACAGAGGTAACGCTGGAGCTACTCTCTAAGGATGAGGTCACCAGATAGAGAGGGGAAAGGGAGGTAAAGGAAACATGAAACATGTTTCCTTCCTGTACAAACATGAAACAAAAAATATACGCAAAGGAAGAAAAGCTAAGGAGACCATGGTACACTTAGGGAAAGATAAGTAGGTTCAATGCAGCTGGAGGTAGAATTGGGAGGAAATGAGGCTGGACGTAGAAAAGGACAGATAAGAAAGGTCTATTGCTTACATCACCATGCCATAAAGTTTAACATACACCTGCAAGGAAAGGTCAGTCACCAAAGGATTTTTAAGTAAGAGAACATGCAAATCACTGTAATAATCCAGAAAAATAACTAAGGTACTGGTGGTAGAGGCTGATTCAAGGGATTTCATAATATTTAACATATCATTAAATAATCAATGTAAAGTACTTAGTTTAGTGCCTGACACATATAGTAATGGCTCCACAAATATTAGCTGTTGTTGTTAAGCTAGAAATTACATCTGGAGAACTCTTAAGACAAGGAACACTTTCAGGTGGACCAGATCTATTATCATCTGCTCCCATAATTTCCCAGGTAAAATCATTCACTCTTTTGCCTATCCTCCTGAGCAAAATCATTTACTTTATACCTACTGTATAACAGCACCTATTAAACCAAATTATGATTATGTCCACGCCTGTTTTCCCAATAAACTGTGACCAGAAACAATATCATTGGGCAAAGACTATATTATCTCATACTGTTAAATCTGGCTAAACTAGAATATGTACTACTTTTGATTAACCATACCACTGCCATTAATTTATAAAAGGAATGGCAATCGACAGTAAACTTGTTGAAAACGCTTGCAATACAGCAGTGTATTATAGTATCTAAACTGATACTAATCTGAAGTGTATACTTTTCATAATTAAATTCCAAATAGTCCACCACAAAGAACTAACATCACTCTGAAGTTTTGAATGATGTGCAAATAAAAGCACACAAATGAAAAAGAGAGAAAGAAATTTCTCAAAAGTTGACTCCCTATGGGTAGTTTTGCATAATTTCATTATAGCTTCCTAACAGATTAAAATCTTGCCGGGCGCGGTGGCTCACGCCTGTAATCCTAGCTCTTGGGAGGCTGAGGCGGGCGGATTGCTCAAGGTCAGGAGTTCAAAACCAGCCTGAGCAAGAGCGAGACCCCGTCTCTACTATAAATACAAAGAAATTAATTGGCCAACTGATATATATATAAAAAATTAGCCGGGCATGGTGGCGCATGCCTGTAGTCCCAGCTACTTGGGAGGCTGAGGCAGAAGGATTGCTTGAGCCTAGGAGTTTGAGGTTGCTGTGAGCTAGGCTGACGCCATGGCACTCACTCTAGCCTGGGCAACAAAGCGAGACTCTGTCTCAAAAAAAAAAAAAAATCTTTATTATGGGCCGGGGCGGTGGCTCACACCTGTAATCCTAGCACTCTGGGAGGCCGAGGTGGGTGGATTGCTCGAGGTCAGGAGTTCGAAACCAGCCTGAGCAAGAGCGAGACCCTGTCTCTACTATAAATAGAAAGAAAACTAATTGGCCAACTAATATGTATAGAAAAACTTAGCCGGGCATGGTGGCGCATGCCTGTAGTACCAGCTACTCGGGAGGCTGAGGCAGAAGGATTGCTTAAGCCCAGGAGTTTGAGGTTGCTGTGAGCGAGGCTGATGCCATGGCACTCACTCTAGCCTGGGCAACAAAGTGAGACACTGTCTCAAAAAAAAAAAAATCTTTATTATGATAACTTGCAGCAGAGGAAATTCCTAGAACTCTGACCACCTTGCACAAACCGTTAAATGTGTTACGCAAATTGAGCAAAGGCCATAGCAGGCTGTCTTAGAGTATTTTTATTAGATTTTATACCTATGTGAACATGACACCTGTGAAAACATTAACTTGGTAGTCAAAATGAGCTAAAACCATTGATAATCATTCTACCTGTAGTATATCATCAGCTATACCATTAGCAAATATCCACAGGCTTTCTCAAAATTTAGACTCAGACATAAGTTAACTGAAAGGAAGTAAAATAGATCCAGACATAATTTAGATAAATAGGAAAAAATAAATTAAAACTTACTTCATGATATATTTGGCTCTGTCTATTGTTTGAGCTTTAACTTTTACTAAAAGTGGGTGACTGTTATAAGTTTCATTCTTCCACTGGCCGTACAGACGGTATCTTAAAAAATGATGAGATGAAGAATTAGAAAAAGTTAAACACTTGGGGGTTAATACACCAGAATTACTAGTAGTTAAAAACATGAAAATAATATATATTTACCTATGCTGATATGGAAATGTTTTAAACATTCCCCATAGTTCCTCTGACATACAAGCATTGCAGTCCATCAAAGAAAGAGATGGAAGTAGTACCTGGTCAGTAATGCTAAGTAAACAGCTAAGGATAACTTCCTAAGAAGAAAGAAGGAAAAATTATTTCAATAAGAGGTCCATATTAATCCATCCCTACAATAAACTTATGATAGCCTTGGGGAAAATATCATTTCTTAACCTCATAATACACAATATTTAATTACCCACCGCATCTCTGTCCTTAATGCAATGCTTATTTGTGTTTCTCCATCTAAGATAGCAAATGGGGTGAGGAAAAGAAGGGGATAGCAAGGAAATGAGGGACTTTCTCAACATGTTAATCCTCACAAAAAAGGATGTTAATCTTAAAAAGTAACTTTGTATGAGCTGCCAAAAACCATATTCAGCATCTACAGTATAGTTATTCACACAGGTGATTAAAGCTTATTCACAGTAAAATTTATGCTATACTTAAACATCAAATTTATTGAATTTTTCTAGTCTCTTACCGTTTTCTCTTTATCTTCTTGTTTGCTCCCATCAGACTGAAACTAAAATTAAAAAAAGAAATTAGTAAAATGCAAAAAGGTTAAGATTATACTGTCACAATTTAGTTTCTAATTTGAAAAATATTTAACTTGCACATGGTTCTGAATTGTTTTCTTTTTACATACACAAAGATTTTAAATAGTTTCCTTGGCTGTGCAGAAGCTTTTTAATTTGATGAGGTCTCCATTTATTTATTTTTGTAGCTGCTATGATTGCTTTGGGGGTCTTCTTCATAAATTCCTTACCTAGGCCAATGTCTGAAAGAGTCTTCCCTACATTTTCTTCTAGAATTCTTAAGATTTCATGCCTTAGGTTTAAGTCTGTTATCCATCTAGAATTGATTTTTGTAAGAGGTGAGAGGTGGGGATCCAGTTTCCAGATTATTCTGCATGTAGCTATTCAGTTTTCCCAGCACCCTTTATTGAAAAGGGATTCTTTCCCCCAGTGTATACTTTTGTCTGCTTTGTCAAAGATTAGATGACAATATGCAGATGGTTTCATCTCTGGATTCTCAGTCCTGTTCCAATGGTCTATGTCTCTATCCTTGTGCCAATATCATGCTGTTTTAGTTACTATAGCCTTATAATACAGCTTGAAGTCTAGTAGACTGACACCTCCCAGTTTGTTCTTTTTGCTTAAGATTGCTTTGGCTATGCGAGGTCTTCTCTGGTTCCATACAAAGCACAGAATTATTGTTTCTAAATCTGTAAAGAATGATGCTGGTAATTTGATGGGGATTGCATTAATTCTGTAGATCACTTTAGGTAGCACGGACATTTTAGAGCAAATAGACAACCTACAGAATGGGAGAAAATATTTGCTTTCTACACATTTGATAAAGGACAGATAACAAGAATCTACCTAGAACTCAAAAGAGTCAACAAGAAAAAAATCGAACAACCCCATCAATAAATGGGCAAAGGACATGAACAGAAACTTTTCAAAAGAAGAGAGAAATGGCCAGCAACATATAAAAAAATGTTCAACATCTCTAATCATTAGAGAAATGCAAATCAAAACCACAATGAGCATTTGCTGCTCTAGTAAGATTGGCCTGCATAAAAAACACCAAAGCAACAAATGCTGTTGAGGATGTTGAGAGATAGGAACACTATTACAGTGCTGGTGTGACTGCAAATTAGTGCAAACTCTATGGAAAAGAATTTGGAGATACCTCAAAGACCTACAAATAGAACTACCATTTGATCCAGCAATACCACTATTAGGCATCTACCCAAAGGAACAGAAGTCATTCTCTAATAAAGACATCTGCACTCGAACGTTTATGGCAGCACAATTCACTATATCAAGGATGTGGAAACAACCCAGTGTCCGTCAATATGTGAGTGGATTAATAATATATATTTATTAATATATATTTATTAATATATTAATAAAATATGGTATATGTACATAATGGAATACTACTCAATTATAACAAGTGATGACGATTTTAGCACCTCTTATATTCTCCTGGATAGAGCTTGAGCCTATCCTCCGAAGTGAGGTATCAAAAGAATGGAAGAATAAGCACCACATGTACGCATCATCAAACTGGCACAGACTAATCAGCACTAAGGTGCTCCCATAGTAGTAATATTCTTTGGGGATAGAGGGGCTGGGGGTGGGTAAACTCACAACTAATGGACACAGTGAGCACTGTAGGGGGGAAGGGCATGTTTCAAATCATGGTTGGGATGTGACAGTCATAACATGTAACCAAAATGTTCATATCCCCATAATTTCCTGAAATAAAAAAAGATTTTAAATATAGCCTGTTGTCAATTAACATTTTAAAATTTCACCTTTATTTCTAATCTTTAAATTATTCTTGACATTCATGAATGTTAAGTGTCAATTTTATAAGCCAATCTTTTTCAACCTCATTATCACGATCCAAAGCATCCTAAAACTGATCTTAGTATTATTTATTATAAAATTGTAGCCAGCACCATAATTTCATTATAATGTATTTGCATTTCTCTAGGTTTTAGTTTTCCCTCTACAGAATTAGTAAAATGAAACACTAAAGCAACAAAAACAAAAACAAAATTAAACACAAAGAAATTTAAAGCTATGTTGTAATTCGCCACTACTAAGTCCTCACTGAAAGATAAACCCAAAATATTAACATTGTTGACAAAGACAAAACCATTGCCTAACTTGTACAGACTGAATGAAAAACCTAGGTCCATATTATACGAATGATTTGAAGATGGGCTCCTGAAGTGATTTTTGACAACGCTGCCTATTCATTCAAAATGAAATAGTGATACCTGTGTGTGTGTGTAAGCATGTAGAAGGTTTGAGGAGTATGCAGAGTACAAATGGACAAGTGAAGCACTGATACTTAAAGACAATTTAGATTTCTGAAAAGGATTTAGCTCAATTATCAAGTGAGAAAAGGGGAAAAGCTAATATGCAGCTAACAAGCATCTTATTTTCTTGGTAGATAAGGGTATTTTGTGTACGTATGTTTTCATGCTTAACTAATTTAATGGGTATTATAACAGGAAGGTCTAACTTATATGCTACATTTTTGCATAACACTAATTCAGGGCCTGCCATATTACCTTTATGGGAAAATACACACGCTGACATTTTTTTTAATTAGCAGGTTAAAAAGGTGTGGGTCCCCTTCACAGAAACAATTTATTGAGTCAATGTATATATCCTGGATAGCAAATAAGAAATTGAATTACTGAAGAGTGGCCTGGCAGGAAAGAAGCTATATAGTTTATAGTTTTGTTTTGGTTTTTTTTTTGAGGGGGGGAGCACACATAATTCTGGTGGCATATTGGGTATACACTGGGAAGCAGAAATACAGGTATACTATAATTGGAAAAACTAGGTTTACAGTATATCATGTTGGGGATTAAGGCAGTTAAGTTACTCCTTTCCTAGTACACTATGATTCAAACAAACATAATAAAGCTACACACAGTTTTTTCCATAAAATTAAAATATTTTCTTAGTTACTAAACTGTCCTAATTGTCCTAATTCCCCTTCTAGGTAACTTATATGAGTTTCTGACATCTATATGTCTATTTCTTAGATTACATAAGCAGGAAAATTTGAAAAAGAGAAAGAAATATGAGAAGCAAATTGAAACCATCTAGAAGACCAGTAAGAGATCTTTCTATCAAAATCTAATTATAGTAAGTATGTACAAAAATAAATCAAGAGGTACATGCAGATAAAAGCAATTTTCTTTTTATTTGGTAAGATGATAAATACATTCCACTCCCTTGATGCTTTCTGATTCTAAGTTTAATTTGCTTTTTAACTCAGAGTAAATATGAGACTCTCCTTTCATATAATACAATACTAAAAGTTTTACTGCATGCCAGACAGAAAAGGGAGGGAGAGAAATGAGGGAGAGGAGATGAGAGACATTCATTCATTCATTTATTTATTGACTCGGTGCCAGACACCTGGAATTTAAAAGTGAACAGGACCAAGTTCATATCTTTGAGAAGTTGACACCTCTTAAAGATCAAAACTATACCTGCCAATATATCATTAGCAACTGAGTTTTGAAGTTGGAATAAAACTAGTCACTGACAATTATTCCTAGATAAGCCATCAGCAGAATGACCCAAAACAGGTTCCAATATTGCTGTATAAAAACAGAGTAGTTGATGGAACTGCATAACAGTACTGGGCACAAAAAATGTAGGTCCATCAAGAGGAGAGCTTTTGGAGGGTCAAGGAATAAATGGAAAAGTTGCAGATATAACTAGATAAATTTCTTATTACTAATGACCTATTTTTAGTACTCCAACCCATTAACATTTCAAAGGCTACATCAGACTACACTTGATCTCAGAAGAGAAAAAACAAAAATATTTAAGATTTTGACTAGATTAAAACCTGAAACTATATCTGTGTCAATTATGGCACTATTTTCACCATTCACTGTTCTTCTCCTTCTTATTAACTACCATTTATTCAGTACCCTTTATGTGCCAAATACAGGCTAAAAACTTCATATTTACATCTTAAAACTACTCCAGGAGGAATTTTTGGTTTTAACCTACATAACCAAGCTAGATTTTCAATTTTGAAAAGAAATACGTAGAGTGAAGCAAGATCAAGGACACTCCTTCCTCTAATATTTGATGAAAAGCAAATAGTAAGAAACATAAGCTCCAAAGTTCTAAAGCAATTGGTCCATGAACTAGAGTTTTGGAACCACTTATCTAAGACACCTTTTCCCCTTAGCAACACAAGTTTTATTATGAAAAATTTCAAATTTATGTAAAAGTTGAATGGATAGTATACTAAATACCTGTATGTCTAAATTTAACAATTAATAATTTTGCCTTTTAGGCTGACCAAAAAAATTTGCAGACATGACATTTTATCTCAAAATAATTCAAGATGCATTTCCTAAGAATAAGGACATTCTTCTACATTACCACAATATCACAATCACAACTATTTTCTAATATCATCAAACACCCAGTCTGAGGTATATTCTGACCACCTGACTTCAGGTTTCTCTAAGCTTTATTTGTGAATCCATTTAGAACACTGTGCTTTTTACCAAGGGCCAACATAAAAAACAGCTATATAAACAGTCTTTCCATGTTAGCATAGGTGACCCAATTTCCCATGCCCCCTCCCCAGCAGGCTTTGGGCACCACAACACATCAGGGCCCAACAATTTAAGGTAAAAAAAAAAGTGAAAGAGACAACATCCTGAAGGAGGAGAAGCCAGATGGGAGAAAATGGAATGACACAGAAACCCCAGAGCCACAGTTCACTCAGATGTGTGCCCACTCGTAACCCTTTAAAGAGTGAACTTTCACTTTAATAAATTTTGCTGCTTGTGCCTTCATAGCTGTCTCTTGCTTTCATTCTTTGATCACGAGAGACAAGAACTGAGGAGTTCAACAGCAGGTAACATCCAGACAAATGAATTAAGGTGGCAGAGTGAAGCATAAACACAAAAATCTCTATCCTCCAATTCCTAAAGCAATGAACAATATGTTTTCT